AGCAAGAACAGAGGTGGTGATGAGCTTTGAATTAGTTGGTGATCGTTTTTCATGATCTGTTTTTTACTGATACATTTAAAATATAGAAAAACAGCAATTGCACAAATATGTTATGAAAAAAGTGTATTTGTTCCCTATCATTTCAGATGTTATGCATGCGTTGTGAAAATATTTAAAACATTTCAACATTGTCGAGGTTTCTTTCAAGGTCACGTGTTTATATCTGGCCTTTTACTTCAGTGTTGTCTCTACAATGCGTCACAACGCGAGTGCTTTTATGATCTTTAAAGAGTAATAGAATCTGAAAAGCCAAGGAACAAGCTGCATGTGAGAAACCAAATTGAAATGGGTGACCCTGCCTTCCAGCTAAAGGTGCAGCTTGGTAAAAACAGCATCTTATTGTATTTATCGTCACACTTTTGTCCCAGTTAAATTACGAGAGGAATTCATTTCCATTCAGAATCTTTGTAAACTATCAGTGTACCACCCTGTGTCAGAGCACAATCCTTCGAAGGTGGCATCAGACAACCATATAAGTGGTTGCTTCAATCGGGCCTCTCTATTCACACACTCGGGGTAATAATACCTTTTTCACATCCTCAAAATGTCGTACATCATTTATAACCTATTTTAAATCTCAGAGCTAGAATGGGCGAAAGTGGAGTTTGGGTCCATTGTGCCGTCGCTGATGGTCGCTATACTTGGAACACCACAGTTCAATCAAAGGTGCCTACCCTGACTTAAACTGATGAGCCTCAAAGTTGCTGGCTTTAGAGCTCTGACATGGAATTAACCACCTGAGACATCCAGGATTGTTCAAGATTCAGGAAAATGAACACACATGCATGCTAATGAATTAAATTGTTTGCTACTTAATTTTTTTAACTTTTCACAATTGTGAAATTGTTTTGTTGTTGCTGAAAGCAAATGCAATTTCATCTTGCAAACTGCTTCGTAAAAGGGACCTATATAAATACAAAAGTATGTGATGCTGTTCGACTTCTATTGCAATGCCTCTTTAAACTATATCTAGCTCTAGGGACAGGAATTCTAAAGCATAGCCTTTCCTTGCCAAGTAAATTGCTTTTCATTGATTGAGACAGATCTAAGCATTCGTATTTTGAACAATATTTTCCACCCACCGTGTATCAAGTAGCCACTTCTCTGGCAAGTTTCACAGTGTATTAGATGTGAAATTTATTAATCCTTTGAACTACCAAAAATGTCACCTACGCCTGAAACTAAAATCACGATGTTTAATATTTAATTGGGAATGCCGCAAGCAATTAAACCAGCCTAAACACCTATTTTCCAATGCTGATGTGAAATAAAAAAAAATATTTGTCCACTATTATGCGATGCAAAAAATACGATTCAAAGTAAAGGATATATATTATCGGAAATATTTTAAATGCACCCAAAGTTGAAATTTAAAATCTTTGTTGACCCAACAATACTTTTTTCTTTACTCTGAACAAGAAAACTTTATTGGAGATTGCAGTAATGCCCCAGTAGCCTACGTCTCTCAGTCACATTGTCACCGATAACCCCCACAGCGAGTGAGGGGAATAATTTAAGAAAAGAACACAAGCCAAGGTGAACTTTTGAGTTTGTAAAAAAAATGTGCCAGTTACACATTCTCGGGCTGTTTGAATTCACAGGGCTACAGATAAGTAATCACACGTCAACTGAACATTGCGGTCTCATGAAAATGCAATTGCAAATTTAAATAATTATAATTCTAGGTGTTTTTTGACTATAAATTATATCTGTGTGTGTGCACGTTGTATATAAAACATCACATTTCATCTCGACATGGGGGAAAAACACAGCGAGATAAGTTTTAAATTGCGTTGCTTACCTACATTGACTAAATTATTTATGAAAGGACAATGAGAATAGTGTGAAAGTCATGTACACATCCACGTTTTATCATCGACAAACAATGTTTTCTGGTCTGGGGCTATCTGGTTGAATTACATCATGCACGTGTTTTGTGTTTTTGGAATTGTGTGAGCAGCACAATATTTTTGTTTTCCTTCATTTTAATGTCTGTTTCCACTTATTAAATTAAGGAAAACATCTGCCAGTGAAATATATACATATTAATGTATATAAGTGTATATAAGCAAAACATGTGTTGATAGTATGAATGTATAGCATTCTTTGGGTCGTTCGGTAAAGCCACGGAGGTTGAAAAAATAATCAAAATAATAACATTATTTATGTGGCTTTACCGAAAGACCCAAAGAATATGAATTCCTGCAGTCACGAAAGCTTTAAGTCAAGATTTAATGTATGGTATATTTTACAAGGCCTATCGAGCCACCAATGAACCACTAATATTTAAAATATTCCATCGCAATTTTCATAATATTTTTCAATCTTTTCTAGGATATATTCGTTATTAACTGTTACATTGCATTCCCAATGCAGGAATTATCATTGCATATTATAATAATGAGTACAGCTGTATAGGTATATCGTGTATGAATTCGTGTAATCTTAAGATAGGTATCATACAATGATATTACCTTTTAAAGAAATGAAAACTAATTAATTTAGAACCGCGTTTTGTGTTTAGTTTGTTGTCCTTCCTCTGTACCTCCGATAATCAGCACAGTTAGCTACGTACGGCGTGAAAGAATTCTAACATACATGCATACATACATACAGTCAATAATGACATAACTTCCAATGAATTTCGTTGCATTTGAAATCCATGTGGGGGGTGTAAATTCATGGAAACGTGGGGTCTGTAATGTTATAATAATGTCATTTATTTATCCAGGAAAGTCTGACTGTTTCAAGCCTTTTTTTTAGGAGGGCCCTGCATTGGAAAGTCTAACCAATCCTATGAACGAATGAACACGTGACATTTTGTAGGAACCGGATAGTGCGAGCAGAAAGACCACACACATCAGGGACCACCACTCCAAGCTGCTTTTACAAATCTCAAATTGGGCTTTTGTAAATAAGTGGTCACACTTGGTTGAAAAGTAAATCAGTTGGTATATGTTTTCAGGTAGGTTAAAGGAGTGAATTATTTTGGTTGAGCACACAGATGTTACGTTTAAAAAATATGAATTTATATAGAAATGGCAACAGATACAGTAATTAAATCGTGTCTTTTATATTCACTGCCAAGTTTCGAAAATTGCAATGATAATAATGACCAAACATGTGCCAATGTTTGGAAACTAAATGTGAGGGAATTACACAGCGATATTGAAATCGCATCTTGATTTTAATTAAAAATGACATACATCTGCGCATGAAACACTTCAAATAAGCACCTCTCTTTGTCTCTTTTTTTTCATTTCCCTTTTGATGTTTGAAAGGATTAGTACCAAATCCAAGTCGAACCTTAAATCACACCATATGTCAGTCGAGTTAAAGTGTCGGTATTTCTCTTTTTTTGATCATTTATTATTTACCCGGGTTAGAAAATAACAACTGTAATTCACAGCTTTAGGCCAATGTGCCAGCAGACCTGCGGCAGTCATAAACATTTGTGAACTCCAAACGGAGACACTAGAGGAACATTTTTCGTAACAATTACATAAAGAATAATTACGAAAACGTTCTTGATGTCTAAAGTAGAAACTGTTATATCCTTGAATAATAATTCCTTGTTCAATATATTTTCAATCAAATATTTTTTTCCCTTTCATGTTTAAAGCGCTAAATAAAGTACTTGGCCTAATTAAAAAAAACTAGGGCGTAGTGACAAACGGGTGCTACTGTATAGAATGTTTAATTAATGGTCAAAATCATTACCCGCTATGAATATTGTTAGTTTTGTTTTTATGGAATAGTGTTTTTTTACTTGATACATTTTAACAATTTTTTTGCTGAATAATTTAAAGAGCTAAATCAATTATGACACAAATAATATCCGGTAAACAAGCAGGATATAAATAATTAAATAGGTAATAATTAAACTACCATTGCTGGCATTGCATTTGCCATTAATCATCATCAATCAACCATCAACAACAATCGCCGTTCACCATGATAATCAATCAATGTGTGCGTGTCAGCACGTTAAGGAAATGGTGTGCACTGATTAAATTGTCTAATGATTTAGAATTCTTAACCGTTACCATTAATAAGTAAACACTCACCGTGGTGTCTTTACATTTCTTTCCCTCTTTCCAAACTCATACATCAGCCACGTTAATCACGAAAATAGATGTAGATATTAATGTTTATGCTCTCATAGCCCGATTGGTATCGCTGATATTATTACACTCGTTCACGCTTCAACCCTTGTCGAGCTCAAGGTCAATGGAAGGTCATTTCCCATCTCATCGATGGCAAACCCCACCTTGTCATTGCTGCCTTTCACGAGATCCTGGAGCTGGTGTTGGTGTTGTGCTGGTTGTCAAGCTGACACCTGACTTCCAAGGTCTACTCTTACCTCGGATTTCTTTGGATCATCCTCTTTGTCATTTTCACACTCTGAATACCCAGTGGCTGTCTGGGTAACGAGCCCTCTCCTGCATATTTTGTCCCACCTTGTTATTCGTCAGCCACAGACAAAAAACGACGACTAATTTTGAGCCATTCGTAAATTCACTGCTAGACGACGGCTCACTGCCGCCCCTCCCTCCCTCCCTCCGCCATGCCATAGCAGTCAGGAGCGTTGTTTAACCACACTACTTTAACCATACTTCACCATGCTGTACATTGCGGGTTGGGTTTGGACCCGTACTGGTGATGATATCACTCGCCACTCGGAATGGATATCAAGTCGCTGGATTAATTGCCCAGTGTGCCAATCGCTGTGCCACCACTCCTACCCCTCTCACCCTGCCGTTATGGACAAATAAATAGTATTTTGACGAATATAAGAGCTGAGAATTGTTTTCAACGTCAGTGAGAGGAAAAAGTTGAAAATGGCCACGCTGCTACACCTGTAATTCTATACAAATGCTTGGATTGTGAGCTGCAGCTAAAAAGTGTTGCTGTTATTACTTTCGTGTTTCCCACCACAGCCCCCTCACAGGTTCCCATAATGCACCACGTGAGCTCCACGATGAGCTCCATCAAGCTGTCGTGGCCTCAGCCCGATCAGCCCAACGGCATCATCTTGGACTACGAGCTGCGCTACGGTGAAAAGGTGAGCAAAGTCCCCTTTGGTCCATTTAGTCCTGGGAAAGTTGCGGAACAAGAACGAGCCTCCGGTGAAGGTGAAGTTGAGACCGCTGCGTTGCTTTTCGAGGTTGTGCCGTGTGGGCTTCCCGACACGTTTTCCGACAAACTTATGCAGGAACTGAGCATCTAGCCGAAAACTGTGAACGTATTCACGTACGTGCCCCGTGACAGTCTATCTGGCTACGCGAGGGATCTTTATCTTCGGGCGAGGTGTGTGTCTCTGTGATTCGCTGTCACCGTGTTTATACATATTGTAAACACAGAGCAAGTAACAAGAGCAACATCCGTCTTGCTATTACACCGAATTACTGGCGTTCTCAAACGCCTTATTAATGGCCGGATTTTAACTTGCTTGTGATTTATATGAGAGGATTAGCAGGTTGAGGTTATGAATGGGGTTAAAGGATGATTAATAGAGAATATATGCTGCAATCATAAACCCATTAAAATATGTAATCATAGCAAAGCAGTGTTTGTAAAGCAACTTGAAAAATGTTGCTAACTGCGATGTAGTTTTAACAGATCGGTCCTTGGCAAGATAATTCAGAGTTTAATTCAGAAAACATGTAATCTTACCATTTCATTTCCTTTATTAACTGCATATGTAACTCTAAGTTAGATTGGCATGTGTACGCATGCGTCTTACCAAAGTAATTTCTTAAAACTTATTCGAATTGAATTTCCCTCCGTCAATGCGTTTAAACTTTTTTTCAAACAAGGTAATAGCCCACTTAGACAAGCATTTCTAATTGAAACATAGAGGAATACAAATGTTAATGTAAACGACCAGGGAAAAGATTATTGTTCAATGAAGCGAAAATAGTTCGAAGAATGAAGTTTTAGTGCTGTATAATTAGCAAGCGCATTGAACAACACAGAAACAAAAAGTAACACGAATCATGGTAAATGTCCAAATCATAAAAATAGTCAATAATAAATTGATTCTCGGAGTGGATTCATGATGGCTCGGTGGTCGTTTAACCAGGCAGCTTGAGATCGTAGTTTCTTCGGCCCCGGTAGACATCACTGGGAAGTGCTGCCTGGACCAACCTCATAGGTCGGCATGGTGGAGAATGGTCAAACAACCCCCCCGTGGCTGACACAGCATGGAGAGGCGATCATCCAGCAGTTGATTGACAAATTGATGAGTAGCATTAATGATACTTATCTTTACTTGAGTATGCTAGCTTATTCCATGCAAAATAGAAACAAAAAATAAAACATTCGGTGGCTGATCAACAGTTATTATTCGAACGAGCAACGCGCCATGAGAGTACTCCCTCGCTCTTGAGGAGAGAGTACATCTCAACGCATAGGCTCTGCTATCCTCTAAATATTAACGTGCTGTGAAGAAGGCCCATATCCTGAAACATTGCCGATTAAATGTGTACGTTATTCTCTTTAGGCGGTGGTGTCGGGTATGCACCGCTGCCAACGCAGCAGCAGCAGCACCACAACATCATAATTTATCTCTCTGTACGTGGAGGTGTTATCGGCCAATGAACGAGCGTTCGAAACGACAATGTCTTCCGCAGAATCAGGACTATCACAACTCGTCCACCGTGAAGAGCCAGACAAACACGGCGGTGGTGGACGGCTTGAAGCCCGGCACCATATACATGTTCCAAGTGCGCGCTCGCACGGAGGCCGGTTTCGGCAAGTACGGTGGCAAGATGCTGTTCCAGACGCTCACCTCAGGTACAGATCGCATGTGTCCCCCCCCCACCACCAACACCCCCCCCGCTCGCGCAAATCTCTCGTGCACGCGGCCCGGAGCGGCGCTCGCAGCGGCTCTTGGAGTGCGCGCGCCGCTCCAGACTGTTTACAATTATCGTCTTCGTTTGCATGAAGCCGCGTAAGAGCGAGTGAACTTTTGTCAAGCGCCGGTGGGACACGCGTGCTCCCAGCAGCAGATGATACTGGCGGAATTTTAATTATTCGTGGGGCTGCGTTGGAAAAACATTGGCGAGCGAGACGTCGCATTGTTTTTTTTGGCGAACGCGTTCTGTTTTGGATTCTGCGTGGATCTTTCGCTGTGCTGCCGGCACAACGAGCGATTGGTAACCCCCAAACCCCCCACCGCCCCCCCCCCCCCACCCACCCCCAAGCCTAAATGAGCGCGCCGCTTTGTGTTTCATAGAAGACAGGGAAAACATGATACGAGAGCAGATCCCGCTGATCGCCGGCTCAGCCGCGGCTGGGATCGTCTTCATTGTGGTCATCGCCGTCATCATCATCGTTTGCAGCAGGTGCGTTTCTCTCACTATAAGCCTCCCAAGAATCCTTGTCCTGCTCATGCAGTTTGTAGGCTTGTGAGTCCCAATGCTGTCCCTCGTGCCATAGACGATTCCCGAGTACCAACCACATGCTCAGGATTACATTCAGGGTGATGCATATATGGACGCTGCACCGATTTCTAACGACTCTCGTCGTTTCCGCAATGGTCTCAAGCTTACGCAGCGTTGAATGTTGTAATAAAATAAGACTGCCTCTGTTGGAACAATTGTATCAGCAGGGGTTTTAAAATCTTTAATAAGTGTATTGTGATTTTTGGGAGACGTGAAGAGGCATTTAATTAAAATGTTGGTTTCTCTGTAATATCTCCCGATTATTTTAATGCATTATGTTTGAATGGATTCCCCTGAACGTGATTAAAATACAAACTCACGTGTCACACAAGGTTGTATAGTCTCAGCCAGGGCACCAATGATCATAGGGTGGCCAGGAAATGCAAATACAGCATTGGAAACTTGGATCTATCTGTGCTGAGCTTTGGCAGTTATCCCTAATTTTATTTGTTTTGTCCAGATTCTCTAGTTTCTTCCCACATGCAAAACGCTCGTCTGTAAAAGAGTGTTCAGAGACTGAGGCTTTCCTGGGTAAATAAAGGTCATTAATATCATTATATTTTTAAAGGTTACTTGGCAAATAGCCACAAATCATACCACAGACTCAGCTTCTCATCTCAAGAGAATGTGGTTTGGTGCTTGTCAAACCTTTTAATTAACTGGTTAAAGACGCAAAAATGTCACCGCGTGTTTGGATGATGTCAATATTTATACAAACTGTCTTGAGGTCTGCACATATTAATGTTTATCCAGGTTCCTATGTGGATACTTCTGAAAAGGGACAGTTAACAACACCTTTCTTCACAGCTATGCTGCAAACAATGTAATAATAACAAGTGTAATCTTGACATTAATGTTATCCAGCTCTGAATAACAGCAGATACATCATTGGTAGGCAGCAATGTGGCCAAGGTGAAGCCCTTGAGGAGAGCTGTTGATCAAAGGCATAAATAATCCCTCCGAAAAAAAAAAACACTCGAGTAGTTTTTGAGAGCGTTTTAAGTTGTGCGACCGGATTCATGAGCGCAGGAATGGCGATATAGAGAGCTTTCAGAGTCACACTGACAATGCATGCAGCAGTTGTAAAGTGGGGGATAATTTATGAGGCAGTATGAAATTGCAACAAAACTCTGCACGGTGGGATGAAGAGGACTTACCTGCGTATCTCGAGCACAATGCTCTCTCGCAGTGCGGTTAAGAGTCACTCGGGAGCTAAGGGCACGTTTCCACGATGGCATAGAAGAGATGGCAAAGATATACGGCAAGCCACGTGACATTTTTGACGCAACGAGATTATCTCCTGTGGGAAGGAATGCTGGTAGCAGCACAATAGCATGTATGCACGTATGTTGAACTTGGCACCCTATGTCGCCAACCATTCTAATCGGAGGTGTGGGGGAAGGACAACAATAGAGTGATTCTTTGTTCGCTTTAGCCCAGATGCTCGTGACGGCATGGTCACCCACAGCATTGTTTTTGCTGGGAGAATTGCGTTTAAATGCCGACACTCTTTCGAAGAAGGAAAGAAAGCTACTCGTCAACAGGAATCACGTAGCAATTGTGTCATGGGAAACGTTGCAGTTAACGATGGAATACAAGCACAGGAGTTCAGTGAGAGCAGAGTTTTCAGGAGTAGCATCTGCATCGCGTGGTGGGGAGCCGATTAGAAGTGTTTGACAAGATGCTGCGAGCATGAATGTCGAGAGTGCCATGTAGTAGACTGTGTTTTTATAAAAGCCAATTAAAAGATAAGGTGAAGACTTCTATGATGGAAAAAATAACTGTGCACGAAGCCAAAACGATGAAAGGGAAAAACGAAATATGAGTCAAATTGTGGAAATGACTCAAGAAGCACACAAAGAAAAATGAGCGTGTGGAAGAAACGGAGATTATGGAGGAGACGTGGGGGATAGATTCGAGGATAAGACACTCTTGGTTTCACTAGAGAATGTTGGCCTCAACAGTAAAGGAATTACTTTAAAGTCAGGGGTGAAAATGCTTCCATCTGTGAATGAGTGGGACACACAGCTCAAAACCTTCCCATTGCGAAGCTACAAGCAGAAACAGACATCAGGAAGGGCCCTCTGCATATAGGCAGCAGTGTGATGCTTGTGTAAGACAGACAGCCCTTTAACGTCCATCTCTCTGCTCTGAAGAAGGGACATTTGCCCCAAAAGTCACGTTTATATGATTTGCATTTAATAGCAGTTTTATTGAAGGATGTGTTGATTTTATTTGTTAATTCATGTTTTTTGCACCACTGCCAATGCAGCAATCACGACGCTATTGTTTTTAGATGTGATGATGTCAATGTTGGTTATGGAGCTGTGAAAATGCGTCTGCACTGAATGGCTGTCATGCCCATCATCCTGAGATGCAGCCACATTTAGACACTTTATACATCCACATTTGCAATATTAGTTTTTGAGTACAGTCCAGCGACTTGTCTCGTGATAGTAAATGCAGATGAATTGTTTGATATTGCTTAAGTAGATTATTTTAAAATTGCAGTCTCTCCCAGTTAAAGTGTATCGTAAATATTTCATATTTTGTGATGAAACTTGGAATATAATAAACATGCCGTTGCAGGACTCTTCTGAAAGGTGGTATTTAGACTGCAATGACGCTTGTGTGAATACATGCATAAATAATATGAATGTCATTGTTATTTTATAATTGCAGGCGGAGATATGAAAGGGCAGATCCAGAATACACTGACAAACTTCAGCATTATACTGGTGGTCATGGTAAGAGGCACTGATACGCAAACCCGCACATGTATGAAATTGTATTCCTATCATCTGTTGTAAATGCATGGATTACATATGACATTTCTCCAACCAAAAATATTGTGAAAATTCAACTGTGACATGTTCTCACGGCAGTATTATCTGCTTGGTGAAAATGTACGAATAAGTCCATTGCAGAGGACTGATACTAGCATAGTGGGTTGCACCATATCTAAACCCTTTGAGATTCTGCATCACGTTAATAACTGAAAGCTCTTTGTCGATCCACTGATGGAGGACTTTCCGTGCCACGTCAATCATGGGGGTTATTCGACCATACACCACCATTTTTTGATTTAAAGCATTCGTGACTGCAGGGATTCATCTTCTTGGTTCTTTCGGTAAAGTCACGTAGAAGGGAAGTAATAAAATAATAAAAATAAAACATCTCACGACGTTTCGGCTACAACGCAAGCAGCCGTCTTCAGGTGAAGAATGAGACACTACTAGCTTGGCAGTGTCTCATTCTTCACTTGAAGACGGCTGCTTGCGTTGTAGCCGAAACGTCGTGAGATGTTTTATTTTTATTACATACACCACCACATTTGTCAGTGTGCTTTTGTGAAGTGTGTGGAGGGGGGGGGGGGTGGTTGACCAGAAACGGTTCAGAAATCGCTCACCGCTAATTTTAACCGCGGCTGGGAATGGAACTCAGGTCACTGGATATTGCATAATAGCGCAGTGCGCTAACCAGTCCGGTTTATTACTTTTGTAAAATTTAATGAGCGGAACATCAAGTCCTAGATGGCGATTGGTAACAGTTCACAATTGGTACAAAACAGTGCAAACATGCAATATGGAAGAGCAGAGACTGTGTCCATTGTATGGAAGCGCTGCTCGTAACTTAATGTATTAAGTATCATGTTGTGTTACTTGCCTGCGCTAACTGCAATGTTCATTCAGACGAGGAACAGCATGATACTCAATTATAGTGCGACTTAACAGATCTCAGTGAGAGCGCTCACAAGTAGGGCAGATTTAATGTGATAATGCAGTCATATTTATGTGACGAGACATCAAGTAAAAAAAAAAGTATAGAATCCGCAACTTAATTTAGCAAAATTAATTTGAGAGGAAACACATTGAGATGAAATGCTAAAAACCTTGTACTGACGTGTCTCCTGCAGGAGAGTGAGTTACTACATAAAGTAGCTAATCTTCTGATTCTACCTCCTGATTTGTAAAGCCACGCAGAGTATGCATGTCTACCCCAGCAGTGAGCAATTGCTGAGGCCGTATAAAAATTAACTAAATAATAATATAAATAACGTTTTTTTTTATATTAACCACCTCCCTTTTTAAAAATCAAGTTTTCCTCTTATTTGAAAATGTATCACTTTTTTTTAGAACAAACGCAATACTTGCTGATCCACATTGCCTGGAGCTCAAATGTTTAAGCTCAAGAGGAGGTTGATGTCTCCATCACCACCGGCAGATGTATGCTTGAGGAAAATGAAGAACATTTTTGTATTATTATTAGTAGTAGTGGTTCGTAGCAAACAGTATCTGTCACAAATATAGGTGTTAGCACATTACATTGTGATTATTTTGCACTCTCCTTCCTGTAGCCGTTGGATTTGATTGGATGCTCTTATTTGTAATGAAAGGGCCAATCCCAATCCTTTAGAGATTGCTGGACTTTACACTTTATTTTATAGAGCAGTGTATGACTTGCATAACTAACTATTATTTTTTTACCAGGTTAGGCCCGCTAAGCTATATAGCTCTTTTTCAGAAGTGACCAGGCTATCACAAATGATAGTTTGATTAAGTGGATTATCACGTGGAAATGTATTGCAGCCAAATACTCGAACCGGCTGACATCTGCAATGCAGAAACACCACAATTATTATATCGTCCAGCTAAACCAAGCGGCTGTTGGTGATATGTCAATCTTATTCGTATTTAAATAATTCAACCAATTAACAATTTTCAATCATTTACATTCGGTATTTTTTCTTGCTGTGATATCACCATCGTCGTCAGCCATGATTGATCAACTGTTGGATGAAGGCCTTCCCAAGCCCGCCGCCACTGCATGTCTCACGGTTCCGCGAAGTGACAATCCGCTGAGTGCCTGCGCACGAATCGATCTCATCGCCCCGTTGCTGCAATGCATTTTTTATTACATTATGACGGCAGCGTTCGTGACGGATGTTGTGAGTTTTGTGAGTTGCGATGCCTTCTCTGCTCCAGGATGCCTGTGAAAATGAGATATTGCCTGTCACGGCGGTTTTCCTACTTAAGCATTTTCACTAAATAAATAACTAAAACTAATCACCACCTGAATGACAACTTTCTGTAAGGAACGCATGCTCAGCAATCCCAAAGTAAGAATAAACACATCCTGCAACGTCACTTCACCCAAACTTTCTCCTGTGGATCTAATTCATCCCACTGCATTCTAAGAATTCACAAACTTGTTCGCCGCCTTCAATCGGGTCAATGAAAAAGGGAGATTCGTCAACATTTTATCGAACGTGATGCCTTGCAAGAGACGGAGTGGTTATGCATCGTTCAGTTTACTTCACTATGAACCCTGAAACCCGAGATTGATTCTGGGCTAAAGTGATGAGCTGTATCTGAACTGATTCTGGGAATCTCACTTCATCCAACCTGCATTGATGAGTGTGGTTAAGTATGGCTAACCAACCCAGGTAACTGACATGGAATGGGGGGAGGCATTCATCTGGAAATGTATTGACAAAGGCCTGTACATTATTTAGTATTATTTTATTACATTTGTTGCAAAAAAAATAAAACATAAACTTTCGTTTTATCCAAGAGAACACGTGTAGAAACTCATCATAGAATAATTTGTCTCTGGAAAGCATAACATGTTTAGTTTTTCATCCAGCTGGTTCCACCATATGAACTTCATCTGCTTAGCTTTTTGGCTATGACATCATATCCGTGCATAGTTATGCATCTCTGATGATCATATATATATTCCCTTTAGTATATACATATATATGGCAAACTACCCAGTTCATATATTTATAAAAGCTTGCATAAAACAGCTGTGAATGAGTGACTGATGAGACCCATGCCGAAAATTATAAATGTAAACATATTTTGAATTCATATCGGTTCGAGATAAATAAACTAATTAAAATCAGTAATATAAAATTATCCAATAACTATCTCAAAAACATACATTCCCTCTGTATACACGTATATATAACAGACATTTTACGTGAATAATACAAGCTCCTGTGAATTTGTTAAATCCTAGCACACGTTACTGACAGGCCATATATTATGGTACTCTGTTCGCCAAGATGATGCTTACATAATTCCTGGAATAATTTCCCAAAATCTAATAACGCAATGATTTAAATGCACGCATAATTGTTTTGGAATATCCTCGTCCACGTTGTCCAACACTCGCGTTGTGATTGTGATGAATAAGTACACGCGTGGCCATAATTGCTGGGCGCTGTGAGCCAGCATCTGCTGCCTGATTTATGTTTAAACGCGTTCAACAAACGGGATAACAGCCTCGTGTTGAGCCGCAATTAATTTTTTTTTTCCCTTTTACCCAAAAACTCCACACACCCACCCACCATCCCTGCCTCCGATGCATCTGTTGTGGCACTGTGCACATTTTGCACTTAAACAGCATAGCAACAAGCAAGCCTAAACACGATCAATGTAATTAAACAGCACGTATTACACAAACCCCTTTCGTTTGGAAAACCTGCACAATCTAATTGTTGGATTCTCAAGAGGGATGCAAGTCTAGCCTTCCGTTTTTTCCATCCTTACAGTATGGATTTTCCACTAATGCCACTCCCCTCTGTTGCTGGTTTCTGCATGATGGTATAATTTCTGGGCGAATTTAGGCAAAAACCTTCCTTCACGGGTAGATGAGCAAGCAATACGCGTGAGCTCCCTGCGCCTCATCGGCCGCACACTTGATTTACCAACTTTAATTATTGAAGAAGAAAAAAAAATTCTCGCGCGCTTGCATCAGACCTTCAAATAAAGCGGCAACAGCTTGTATGCCGATTAGACTTTCTGTAAGGATTTTATCAGTTTAATGGTTTTTTTCTTTCTTTCCCATATGCAATCTGCATTTAAGCACTTTGCAGCGCATGTGTGGAGATGAATATTTATTCGCAGGTGACAGGGGTTGTGTTTTAGTTGGCAATAGCCGAGTGCATTCTGTACTTTCACTGCAAGCTCCCCCGCTGTCCCAATTTGCTTCCCGTCAAAACCAGCGGTGCGTACCCACGTGTGCGCTGTCCATTCCTCTGCTATCTGAGCATCCCAAACTTTCTCTTTTGGCAAGCGTTTCTTCAAAAAGAACAACAATCTAAATGCTATCTGGTTTAATGCAGGAACCGCCACCGTGGATTTTCACCCAGAGCGAAAGGAGCCAATGCGATCCCATTTGGGGGGTTTGAGTTAAAACGCAACAGAGTTTGCAGCAGTCGGTGCAAAAATGTTTAAAGTCAAGCGGAATTAATATGGTCAGCTACTGACAAGGGGACACAGATGTTTTTCATTTTTAAATCAGAACACCGGGAAGGCTGCATCAGCGCACGCAGAAATGGGTCGGCTTTTTTTTCATGCCCCTTTTCGCTTCCACCTTTCCGAAATGTGAGTAAAAATCCCTTTGTGGTTTCACTCGCGCGGCCCCTTTGTGAAATCCAATACTCCTTCCGTGCTGCTGCCTTTAAGTACCGCTGCCTTGCGTGCGCCCATCTTGCACTGAAATGCTTCACCATAGGTGCGTGCCGCATTGATGACTCGACACAACCCCTACTCCCCACTCTCCACCCCTCCCCCCCCCCAAAAAAAATGTGTTTTGACGTTTTATAACATTGTAAAGTTTTTTTTTCTTACTAGGCATCCCAAAAAAAAATCAGTAACCCGTAGAGCTTCTGCTGCGTGTTGGCCTGCAACAAACGCAGCGTGGGATGTAGTGCAAAGGCGAAGGGGAGAGTGAGCGGCGTTTTGTTTGCGCACACAAAAATTGAAATGTCACCCGATTAGTTGCAAAGTCGTGGGTTTTAAACTCCCGCCCGCACTCTGCCGAGCCACGCGTGGGATTTGGCATTTTCAATAGCTTCTGCTTCCTGCTGCCGATTGGTCAGGGATTGATACCGTTCTGTTTACGCTCTGGATTATGCTTGAACACATGTTGTTATATATAGAGATACTTTTTACATTCTAACTAAATAAATAAAATAACCCCATCACTATATATATATATAGCTTTGAGAGCATCCTTTTCGTACAAACTGGGAAAATATAATGTAAGTCTCCCCGACAATACGACAATTATTTATTTGGCGCTAGTTAGGTAAAGAGATGGTTTTTTTGCCGAAGTAATGGTGGTTGGTATAATGACGGCGATGATGATACTATCTAATTTCCAACAGTCTTGACTAATGGTAACATACTAACGATGAACATAGTATTATCTATAATAGAGGTTTTTTTTGGGTCAAATCGCGTGAATATAATTGTCGCATAATCAAAACATGCCAATTAGTTACTAGTTCAGCACACCAATGTGTTGGAGAGTAAACCCACAACGTTTATAATATCGGTCGCGAAAGCCTAAGTGTTAAACTGAACATATTATTGGCAAATTCCATATAGCCGTTGCCTACAACCTTTAAAAACAAGATTAAAAGAAAGGTGTCTTTCCAACCCATGCGACGTTTTGTTGTTGTTGCTGCTGCCATTGGGCCATTCAATCAGGGGGCTTTGGAAGCTATGGAGGCAATGTTATCGCTAGGTCAAAGCTGCCTTGCAAACTCACAATCCCCGTTGAAGCCAAACAAGTTCACTGTTCAATCGTCGTCTTCATCCACGAGAGTGGCGTACGATACACAGCAGTGGACCCAGTGTTGTTCGGGTTTGAACTCAAGTGCGTTATGCCACAGGGTCCTGGCACCTACATCGGTGCAGCATTTAGACTTCACCTTCCGCTGACCATGATGAGAGCAGAGTTGGGTGGAGCCCCTGGTTGGTGAGTTCCACCCCGTCTCAGTTACCCTGCAAACAAAACAAGAGGTTCAGAAACTTCAGGGGTGAGGTTTCCCCGGGGTGTTTCAGGGGTCAGAGCACCGAGCCGGCGCCTGCTGAGATCCCGTGATTCACTCTGGATAGCTGCCCTGTGATATAACCGGGTTCTCAAATGTTGCCTGTTGGTAGTCTCAGCCAATTCACCAGCAATTGCACGTGCAAAATTGGATCGTATAGAATTTGGTGTTTAACTTAATTTGGTAAAATTCCAGCTCTCAGAATTCAGTAACGTAAATGTGGCTTTCACTGCCACGTGATGAGCCTCTGCAGCAGGGCACATGGGAAATTACGAGACCCATAAGTGATCTCAAACTTAGTTCTGTGATATCACCTTCTGCAGACCATTCTCTTAACATAGGGGCATGGACTGTTCTCTGAGAGTCGCTAATGGATGTATCTGAATCTCGTGACGTGGCATGGATAGCACAGTTAGAATAACAATCTCAAGCCTCCCTTGACTGACATGCGTGGGGAGGCTTTCCCCCAGCAGCGGATCGCCATACCTTTGTGTCATCACGTATGCTAAGAGATTTTACACAGAGGTAAATATCAACAATGCGTCTATCATCATGGATATGAAATCTATTCCGTTCATCTTTCTACAGTATCAAGCATTCATTAACACACATTTTAAATTCAGCACGTAATCCGCTAATGTGATCCATTATGAAAGGTAACATTCCGTAAACTAAACTAACATTTCGTGTCGGATCACCGGCGCAGAGTACAGAAATAGCCACTTTTATAGTCATGCATATGTGTTGGTGTACTCTTATTGCCTCTGTCGCCTTCTTTTGTAGGCTAGGAATGTTGAACAAATGGCCCCAAACTCTATATGTATATTAAAAAAGTGTTGGGCCTCCTATACTTTGTGTTAGTAAGGTTCACCAGATTTCGATTTAAAGCTTTCGTGACTGCAGGGATTCATCTTCTTGGTTCTTTCGGTAAAGTCACGTAGAAGGGAAATAATAAAATAAATAAGTAAACTAATAAAATAATTATTATTTTTATTTTATTATTTCCCTTCTACGTGACTTTACCGAAAGAACCAAGAAGAAGGTTCACCAGACTTGTTTGATTAGCTCTCTTGAACTCATGTTATGATGGGTCCCATTGGCCAACTGTCAGGCGTAGTTTATCAGAGAGAAAATTGCCGTGGGTGTTATGGGTAGAGGGAGGCCGGTAACATCGTTCACTTCATCATTCTCCTGTGTATGCACATTTTTTGTAAGAGTTCACAGTGGCCACTTGATTCAGACAAAGTACATGAAAGTATCTATACTCTTAGGTTTTTTCGGTAAAGTCACGTAGGTAAAAATTTAAATTAATAAAAGTAAAATAAAACAAATGAAAAAATTCACGACGTTTTTTAATTTGTTTTATTTTACTTTTATTAAATTAAACTTTTTACCTACGTGACTTTACCGAAAAAAACCTAAGAGTATGAATCCTTGCAGTCACGAAAGCTTCAAATCTAGAATGAAAGAATCTTTTGGGTGGCAATGCATAATGCGTTTTTATCAATATTTCTTGAAATCCGTAAAAGAATATCATGGGAAATTTCACGTTAATAATTAATTTAATATCAAGCCAAGAAAGAATCCTTTAGCATCGTGAAAAATAATTACATACAATGCCTCAAATCCTTCCTCATGGTGCATGCACAATTTAATAATGTTAGGATTACCTGATGAAAGTTAAACAGATTAAGGTCTACATTATTTTTCACCTCACGCAAACGTGGGAGCATTTACAAATCTAATTTAAAGCTATTGAAAAAAAAAATCTAATGAGAGAATTGTGTTGGCAGTGGTGTAAAAACATAAATCTAAAATAATAACCCACTATATATATATCTCCTGTTTTAAGGCAGTGTAAAGGAGAAGATGGTGGAGTTTGATTTAATTTATACATTTTTCAGGTATATTGAGACACAAGCCTACACATTTGTGCCTATGTATGCCAAATCCCACACCTTATTCGCAGGGGAATGTTGGTACAGTGGTTAGCATATTGGCATCTGAACCCAGTGACCTGAGTTCAATTCCAAGTCATGGCTAACATCCGTGAAAAGTGATGTCTGTCACATGAGTTACAAAGGAGAAAATTGCAATCCGTGAAATATATTTATTGTTAACCTTGCTGGTAAGTTATAATTTTATAAAGTCAATTTTTTATGGTTATCATTTAAATGGTGTAGCAGTGGCACGATGGCTCACACAATGTGCTATGAACCTGGATACCTGAGTTTTATTCCTGGCCATGGCTAAATTCAGCGGTGGGTGATATGTGAACAGGTCTTGGGCATGCCTTTACCATCCAAAATTGACAAGGATGATGAACTATCGTCAAACAACCCCTTTAACCAAAAACGACACATGGAACTCTTCATCCAACAGTGGAATGTAACTTGTAAAAAAATCACCTTATTAAACTGCTATACATCTTAATTTTTCGAGTATGACAAAATTGTTTACACTTGTTTTTTGCATCAACCGTTAAAGTTTTCTCTTCATTAAAATCACCATTAATCAAAGCTCATTAGACCACTATTAATAAAGGCCCTGTCATCCACATTTTCCATGGTTTTTTTTTTCAGTTTACTGATGCATGCAGCTATCATAGTCATTAGTTTAAGCAATTAAAATTTAAATAAAGGCCTGCGTGTTGCGATGGTTGCACAGCTGGCATGTGAACTCAGCCCCTTCAAGCCCTGGAGGGTCCATACCAACCATACCACTGTGTGCGGATATCAACAGTAGTCATCCGATGGATAAACAAGCCTCTGACCATAGCAACGTGGAATTTACGCTCATGATTTCGGGCTTGAAAGAAGTGGTGAACACCAATCCACCCTCGTTTCAGCGGGACATCCTGGAGCAAGATGGCCCCTAAGATGTGTTTTCGGGAGGGTGCCCATGCGCGGTTTGGCACAATGTCCTTTCCCGAAGATGCTGCCAGAGTGTGGGGCGAAAGGTCGGGCATTATCATGCCGAACGAACGACACTGAGTACAATTCCTAAAACATATCTGCAGAACAACCCCATGGCAGAGGCTTATGCGACTCGATAAGATCGTGCCTGCCCACTTGTTGTGTTGTGTGGATGCATAATCGTTTGCTCTGGTTGTGTTTGCACGCAGGTCACAAGATATACATTGACCCGTTCACGTACGAAGACCCGAATGAGGCAGTGCGAGAGTTTGCGAAGGAGATTGACGTCTCCTGTGTGAAGATCGAACAGGTCATTGGAGCAGGTAGGGTGGAGGAGATGACTTGAATTAACTTTTGGGATTCTGTCCAAAATGTTGTGTTGCAATTGTGAGTGTTGATCGATTTCTCCGACTTTTGTGATCGTATGCCTAAGGATGCTGACCTAAATGGTCTTGTAATTAAATAACTTTGAAGGGTCAACGGCGAATTTCTTTCGTTTTTGTTGACGTTCGTTACGTTTTTTGGGAGCGTTAACTTTGTTCTTTGGGAATGGAACTATAATGTTCCTTTAAAAAAAATAAAGGCAGCAATTTTTTTGTTCCTCTAAGTTGTTTTAAAGTGTGAAATTTAAGTTTACAATATTTTTTCATGAGCGGCTCTAAGAAGCACTCAAGATGAAATAAGTTATTTGATTAAGTGCCAATTTAGAAACAAGCATTCCCATAAATGTAATGCATTACATTAAATTAGAGCAAATGTCTATAAGATCCTTCAAATGGCAGTTTTAATGAAAAGAGGGAATTTAGTTCCGACAGTAATACGTTTAGAAACGTGCGTTTAGAGTATGTGGCTGCAAATCATTTCCACACGATAAGCCACTTTGTTGAGCTATCATTTGTGGCCAGGTCGCTTCTGGAAAAAAGCTGCAAAGCTCACTGGGCCTTCTTATCTGTTAAAGTAAAAAGTAGCAATAGTTTTAAGTGAATACATTCACAGAAGCAAAAATTGGCCACGATTCTTAAGGCGACAGGGGACGTGTTCTTTCAAATGGAACTTCTCCCGGACTGCAAGAGCTCACACCCGGAAGTGTACAATAATACACGGATGCAGAGACATTGTTCAATTGTTAGATGGAATCTGCCACTGTTTGGACATACCATCTGGTGGGAAAAATGCGGTGAGGAAAATATATATATATTTATAATGGTGCAACAGATGGATGTCTCTGGCATTCAGACGAATCTCTGGATACACAGACACGCTTGAACACCAGTACAAGTCCTCCCATCACACCTTCTACAGCCATTCGGCTATTGGAATATCTAAATTGGCTGCCATAGGTGTGTGTGTGTGTGCATAGCCACTGGCCCCGAGCCCCCTAATCCGCTTGCTGGAGCACTGGTCCACAGATAGGAAAGCGGGGATAACATCCCCCCAAGGGGACTCTCTCTCTCTCTTTTCCTGCTGTCCAGGGTATGATTACTGCCCACTCTTGCAGGCAATCTGTGGCGTCAAAGGAGGGTCCTGTTAAGTTAAAACGTCTGCCCATGAATGCCACATGAAAGCTTCTCGCGGCGATGGGAGGGAAATTAACTTATGGAGAAAATGAATGAAAGCAAAGCCATTGCCACTGGCCCCTGGAAAAGACGGCGTACCGCATAAACTAACACGTGAGATGTGGCTGCCCCGCGGGGCATGTTGAACCTGTGGTGCTCGGCAATTTTAACCGCAGCTATGAAATGCCAGTTCTTTTGTGGAAAAAATGTAAACTTTGAAGAGCAATAAGCTGATTTTTTTTTATTATTATAAATATCAGAGGTGGAAGTTGTCGAGAGGTAAATGCTACAGTTAACATTTTTTATGTTTTATTATGAGAAGTAAAATAATTGGAAATTGTCCGCAAGAAGGACAATTTGGAGCATCTCTGCTTAAAAAGAAAATGCATTAAAAACGTAATTTTGTAAGTATCGGTGGCATTTCAGAACAAGAAGTGTTCAAATGTCATGTGCAAATGTATTATTAAAAGGTCATATTGACCACACTGAGAAAGTAATTGTGCACACAGTAAGTGAGGGAAATTGCACTACATATGTATCACACGTTATTGGTATTTGATCAAGTATTGATTTACGCAATGAGAAATCGGCATGATCCTTTCATTAAAAGAGGGATGCACAGAGTGATCATCTCGCCTAAACTGCAGATGTGACAATGAGTATTAACAAAGTGAGATTTTTGTTGGTGTGAAAATCCATGAAATAAACAAATTAATCTCGCAGCCACGTTGCATAACGATGCTGAGATGTCTGAAGCAATTTGGTTAAACACTTAAGGGGCCATCATTTTGAGATGAAAGGGAAGATGTTTAGCTGCAGAAAAGTTTTTTTCTCCTGCTAATGACAAGCAGTTATCTTGGTGGAAAATCTTCACTCGGAGGTTATGAGCAAAGCAGTAATTGTTTGAAGTCTGGCCTTAAAGTGCTTTTGAGGGAATTTATGCGATTAAGTGTTCAAAAGCTGCCTAGTCCTTGACCCAAAAGTAATGTGCGTGTACTGTTAGTGCCAAAGCTCTCGAGCCAAAGGGGGCTTGCGTCTGCCCCCTAAAAGCCACAGAATCCGTGGCACATGAGACGAAAACAGCTGTTTGTCACTCACTTGAGTTATTATGTTAAATGGGCACGCATTAGTGACGTAATGAACATTTTTGTTCACGTCTGCATCACTTAAAGTGACAGCATTCTCCTGCGTGCCATTCCTAAATCTGTTTTGGGATTGTGCTCTGCCCAAAGCAGTCCTAAAAATAATTTTGGAGGGGGGGGGGTGTTTTTTGTTGTTGTTGGTGTAGTAAGGACACGAGCACTTCACCATTCTGACATAATAGCGTCAACATGTCCGGATAATGTACACGCACTGTGTTCTGCTCTTCACAAGGTTTTATTTCTTCTTGGTTCTTTCGGTAAAGTCACGTCGAAGGGAAATAATAAAATAATAAAAATAAAACATAATAAAATAATTCTCACGACGTTTAGGCCACAACGCAAGCAGCCGTCCTCAGGTGAAGACCAGGTCTGTCGGGGAGACAGCGTCTGAATGTCTCCCCGACAGACCTGTTCTTCACCTGAGGACGGCTGCTTGCGTTGTGGCCGAAACGTCGTGAGAATTATTTTATTATGTTTTATTTTTATTATTTTATTATTTCCCTTCTACGTGACTTTACCGAAAGAACCAAGAAGATGAATCCCTGCAGTCACAAAAGCTTTAAATCGAAATTTAAGGTTTTATTTCACAAAGGTGATGTGGGCTCGTAATATTACGCAACCTCTCACTAGCCCGTTGCTTAAACTCACCGTGCGAAAACGGCAGGGATTTTTCTTGCAGAGTAAAGTTCAGCTACTTGTCATTCCTATCTTACCCAAGAAACCCCAAATCCTATTGAGAAAAACAACGCTAAACAATGCCTCGGTTGGGTGCAAATTGTAGAGCGATGAATTTAAAAGTGATTCACCAATACGAAATTGCTCTGGCTGTTGATGCTCCTCTCTCCACACTGCCAATGTGCCACCCCATATGGTGCACACTTCAGACTGCCACTGCCCACACAACTCTTGCTTTATACTGCAACTCGTATAAATGTTATTGTTGTCAACCTGTGCCTTCCCACTAATGTGCATGTGTCTTCCCAATTGGTATTCCATGTCTCCCTTGCCTTGGTTTCTGCTGTCCGCTAGTGGCCTCCAAATTCTTTGAATCCATCTCGTTGTCTCTTTCCACAGTCTCCCCTCCGTGTTTAATTATCTTGCGTCTCTCGTCAGCTTTCACATATGCACGTGACGATGAGCCACTTTCGTTGAGCTATCATTTGCGATGTCCAGGTCGCTTTTGAAAAAGAGCTTCATAGCTCAGTGGGCGTTACCTGGTAAAATAAAATAAAAAATCTATATTTTTTCGTTGTTCTCCTGCCTATTCCCACCTCACTTATTTCGCTTTAGCAACAGCATCAGTGACGCCTGCTCCATCCCCTTTTTGATTTATTCCTTAACTGCCTCTTTGACGTACATCTGACACGTTTCTTTCCGTAGATATTTGGCAAACCTGTAGCCTTTTTTACACGTACATTCACCTGTTCATAGCCACCAGTTTGCTACAGTATTATGTTAGTTTGCCATGGCCACTGTCTTGTTTGTCCATTGGCTGAAACTGTCATTGACTGATGAGACTGCAGCAAATGTTTGTTCATCAACCAGCCCATTGGGATTCCATCACAGTATAAGGGCTGGTAATAATAAAAGCCCTCTTTGACTGAATATACCATTCACATTATGACAACCTTTTTTTTTCCCATGCCATACAAGACATTCCCATGATTGAACACACGCGGCCAATGTGCCAACTTATCTTGGTCAGGCATGCGCCACCACCCCCGTGATTGACTACAACATGCCAATACACCAACTTATCTTGGACCCGCGTAGAGCACATCCACATAATTGAATAGAACGACCTGTTGTGCCAACACTTATTAGACGGATGCGCGGCTCGTGCCCATGATTGAATAGGGCATTCCGTTATGCCAGCTTACATGAGACAGACGCGCAGACCGTGACTGTGACTCAATAGAACATGCCAGCACACCAACTTTCTTTTGGATGGCAGTATGGCACACCGCTGCTATTAAATGGAACATATCACAGTGCCAACTTATCTCCGACAAGCACACGGCGTTGCCTCGCGATTGAATAGAACATGCCATTATGCCAGCCAATCTTGGACTGGCACGCGGCTGTACACCGTGATTGAACAGAACATGCCAACTCGCCAGTTTATCTAGGAGAGGCACAGGGAGCACGGTGCTTTGATTGAATGAGATGGCAGTGGCCCTGGTTGCTGCCTAGAGAAAGCATCACATCACGTTCCCATCTCCTATGTAGTTGGTACCTTTAACCCTCGGGGTGGGGGGGGGTCGAGCCAGGAATGTAAGAATTGGTGCGAGAAGGTCAGACGCAGGGACATAATCACGTCGTAATCCGTGTCCTAATGGTTGCCTTGCGGCGGTTTGACTGTATAGGGTACCTTGCTGACGCTCCAAGCAAGACGCAGGGAGATACACAGACAGATAGCGTACCGTTGTATTCGCTCTGCTGTCGAGTAGATCCTGAGCGCAGCACAAGTTATAAATAGACACTGTGGACAATTGCATACTTAAGCGCACGTGCTAATGGTCTTAATGCATTCCACTGCACACTTGAATTTGCAATTAGCGTATTACACACGTCTGGCAATAATACGTCCAATGCAGGATTCCTCTTGAACTCATTCAAAATGAATAATGGATGATACTCCTCATGTACGTTTTGTTGGATGTGAGAGCAAGGATTTTTACCCCCCCCCCACCCCCCTCAAACTTCTGAGAGATTATCTGATCTGTTAAGCAATTCAAAAAGTTCCTGGTCAGAAGATGCCGGGGGCAGCACACCATCGTGCTGAGTTGCGGGCATTCGTAAAAGGTTTCCAGCGTCACGTTTATTTTGTTTCACGAGGTGAAACTTCAAGGGCCCAGGATAGCAAGATTTGCAAGAATGACATGCGGCACTAATCTTCCAGCAGGGGGCGATACAAACTATGACTAATTCAGTTTTAGTACTTTGTGGTGAATATTGGAATTCGACAAATGTGGACCCTGATACCAGCACACAATATCCCACTCTTGCGTATGTATGTATGTTGGACTTCTTTCGCACCGTACACAGCCAACCGTGTGACCTCGTGGTATGTTCAACTGCCTCTGTGAAGCAGACGGTGTGTAATATTGTTAGTCAACTACACCCACAGTAATAACTAGGGTGGCCGCTGGATGTAAACTGTAAACCTGTTGCAACAAGTGGCGAGCATGCCAGCGCTAAGCCCTTGTCACCACCATCAAGATAAAGGGGCAGCCCTGCAATTGCTCTCGCCACTGCTGGCGGCAGGGCCTCCACTAAACTGAGCTTCAGAGAGTCCCTTTTTGAGGGTATTTAGCCTCCTCGTCCACGCTGGCCAGACGTCTTTGGAAGGAGTGGGAGTATCCACGCTCTACCACGTCACTCCCGACCTGCTGATCGACTAGCTGCGGTGCGCTGCCGGGCAGGCCGAGGCCCGCGGGGATTTAAGAATCTTGCAGCTTTTGTTTAACGACAGTGCCGGGAGATTGTATCGAACCGGCGACCTCGGCATTCGTGTGGGTGACAGGCAGGGGTTGTGGTGTTGGCAGTGGGTGGGGGGGGGGGCTGGGTTGGGGGAAGCTGTTGGTTGAATCAAAACCGCTGCTCGCTCTCTCTCTCTCACACAGGCGAGTTCGGGGAGGTGTGCAGCGGGCGTCTGAAGCTTCCGGGCAAGCGCGAGATGGCGGTCGCCATCAAGACGCTCAAGGCCGGCTACACGGAGAGGCAGCGGCGTGACTTTCTGAGCGAGGCGAGCATCATGGGCCAGTTCGACCACCCCAACGTGATCCACCTGGAGGGCGTGGTCACCAAGAGCCGCCCAGTCATGATCATCACCGAGTTCATGGAGAACGGATCCCTCGACTCCTTCCTGCGGGTGAGTGAGCGCCTGCCTGTCACCGGTAGATTCGCAGCGGTCAGCGCGCCCCACGCCCTACGGACACGACGGCCCCCGGGTTCGATTCCCGCTCACGGTTAACACCAGCGACGATTATATGAACCGGGCCTGCGCATCCCCGAGGTCGACTCGGCCTCAATTGAGTACCTGGTGTGGCGTGTAAACATCACTGATTATGAGTATAGTTATTATTATTAGTGGTGATATTCGAATCATGATGGGGTTTTTTCATAAAGATATGATGGTCATTTTGTAAATCTGGGTCCCCTTGCCTTGAGCTATTTGGGGCCCTACGCTTATCCAGAAGATTCTCATTTCCAATGCAGCGATTCCCCTTTTAGTCATCGTATTTGCCTCAGATTCAGAATTTCCCACGCACATCTCACCTGTTGCAAACTAAGAGTCAAGTGATTGATTGATTGAGTTTTTACAATAAAATGAATCTCTGGACGCGTAGATGTTTCTCTGATAAGCTACATTCCAACATCCCACCCTGACAATCAAAGTAGGATTTTGAGTCACAGGAATTCCCTGGTGGCCTGATGGCTTATTAGGGGTCTGAGTGACACAGCGAGGAACACTAGCACACGATACACGTATGGCAGCTGTGCAGGAGTGCACAAGGCGACATTTAGTGAAACGGGACTTTTCCAATGACGTTGATCAGTATCTGCCCGTAACCATTTCTTCATGGAAATTGATCCAGAAACGAAATGGCTACATGTTCAAAGACCAAATGTCAGCAGTAGGAATGCAGTCGTTCTCAGTCTGAGAGCTCACTGCACATAACGAGACAAAGATACCCCTTGCAGCCTTCATAGATTGTTTGAACTAGTGCAATCATTAAAGCCAGAAGTCTGCACGATGAGGTACCATTGCCAACACCATGCTCACCCTCGTTTTCTTCCCAAATGCTGACATTTGCACATTGTACCAGGTACTCATTTGAGGCTGATTAAACCTAGGACAGCCCGAAACTGGTTCAGATAAAACAGCACTGACATTAGCCCTGATGAAGATTCGAACGTCAGCAGATTTTCTCCGTACATTTTGCTGTTCGCTGGTAACTTGGTAATTGTCAACATTAGCAATTCCCGTCAGGGCCACGGTACGTGCTGCAGAAGGAGCTTCGGGTGCTGGCACTTATGAAATGCACGCCAAATATACAAAGATCCCCCGTATGGCCTAAACAAACTGTTGGAGCAAGTGCGAGCAGCAGAAGGCCACCAAGGCACACGAGGGGGTGCGTGGCTAGCACCACGCCTGGCCGCCTTTGTCTCCCTAGTGCTGATGTTTTTTACACACCATACTAGATACTCATTTAAGGCTGAGTCAACCTAGCGGGGAGAGGAGGGGGAGTAGGACCCGTTCAAATTATCATCACTGGTGTTGGCCGTGAGCAGGAATCGAACTCGATTTTACTGGATTCCTAGCGCAGCACGCTAACCGCTACACTACCACGTTCTCCAAGCACAGATACACAGACTCAGATACAAAGACGTACCGACAACATGTGTGTCGGGAAAGGGTTGACGCATCATGGAGCCTGAGTTCACAATCAGTGGCTAAGCGAATTTGGGGAATGGATTTCCGAACGAGCGCTGGTTGGTTATCAAATCATAAATGCAGGGAATCAATCCCTTATTGTATGCCATTGAACGTCTCTAGAATCAACAGTCACAGAGTAGCTATTTAGTGATATTGTTATGCAGTACTTTGGCCAATGCACGATAATGTTTTCAGGTTGTTATTCTCACAATATATGTCATTCTTTGTTAGGCCCTGGCCCTCTTCATTATCAATCCACTCGACCAGTCGCTCAGTGTTCACATTGTGTCTGTTGACTTGCATATCTCTCTGCTTCTGCAGTTTGTGCCAATGCCAATGTAGCCAACATTATTTTTTTTTACAAAATCCTTTATGAATGGCCGGATGCCTTTGAGTTCCCTACGTGAGTATATTTTTTTTACAGAAACAATAGTGTGTTCTTCTCATCGGTTCGAGTATTATAATAACAATTATAATAATACCGCTAGTATTCACCATGTCCTAGGTTCCAACCCAAGCTGATTATTTTAAAATGTTACTTCGGATTTTCCAAAGCATACCATCAGTCAACACCTCCCTCACTACAAAGACACTGTGCAACCAGGTCTGATTTAATCTGACAAAATAATGAAATGCAACGTTTTCTTTTACTTTACATAAATATAATAACAAGTATTTATATGTATGTACGTTGAACTTCTTTCGCACCGTACCTAGCCAACCGTGCTAATCGGTGTTAACATATGACAATCATAACTTTTGCAGCAATGAGTTTTAATAACTCTAAACTGTACACTTATAACCTGTCCATTACACACGCGGCATGGGGAGGTCCTCATCCGAACAGTGAATTGACAAAACGGCTGTAACGTGCACACGTGTATAAGTTGTATGATGTTGTTAAATATGCGCAAGAACTTAAACGTGTAAAAAAAGGGGTAAAGATGCAACTCTGCAATTGCCTGCTTATGACACTGCTGGCGGACGGGGCCCTCCACTGCGGAGAGCCCCTCTATTTAAATGTATGGCCGTACTAAAAAAACACGCAAGGCATGTTATAATGCATGCAGGCATCGCACCCAATACGTGATGTATGGGACATCTTTTGAATCGTGAAGACAAAAACATTCCAAGTCCTCTTCTTGGTTCTTTCGGTAAAGTCACGTAGAAGGGAAATAATAAAATAATAAAAATAAAACATAATTAAATAATTCTCACGACGTTTCGGCCACAACGCAAGCAGCCGTCCTCAGGTGAAGAACAGGTCTGTCGGAAAGACAGCCTTTTTTATTTATTTTATTTTATTATTTCCCTTCTACGTGACTTTCCCGAAAGAACCAAGGAGATGAATCCCTGCAGTCACGAAAGCTTTAAATCGAAATTCCAAGTCGTGTAAACGTTTTTAACCTCCGCCTCTCTGTACACATTCAAGCAGTGCAAACTGTCTACACGTACGCATTTCTTAATCACCATCAAGAATACGTAAATTTTCACGTATCGCAGATTTTTTTTCTTCTTTAGCCTGCTCGCTCGCTCGACACAAAATGGCTTATGGTGCTGCAAATGTCTCTCTCCAGCAAAACGACGGGCAATTCACAGTGATCCAGCTCGTGGGAATGTTGCGGGGCATTGCGGCCGGCATGAAGTACCTCGCAGACATGAGCTACGTACATCGAGATCTGGCAGCACGCAACATCCTTGTCAACAGCAACCTGGTGTGCAAGGTGTCTGACTTTGGCCTCTCGCGCTTTCTGGAGGACGACACCTCCGACCCAACCTACACCAGCGCCATGGTGAGGGCAAGCCTCGTTGGTCTATCACACTCATCAATTGCATTTGTACGATATAGTGTGTATGTGTGTGTAGTAGTACAGGCGGGTATATAGTGGTGTAGGCGGAAAATATATACTCAATGTGGTCATTAACATGCACCTGCTTGCTTTCAACAAATACCAACCTATTGGCAAATTCGGTAATCTATAGGCTTATATTTCCATACAACATCATATGGCCGCGAAATGTACTGAAACAGAAATATTTGTTAAAAATCAGTTAAGAGCCCTTTGTCACACCAGATTATTTAATTGGAGACTTGGGTAAAAAAAATACAGCTTTTAAATGTAAATAAGTTACACGATTCATAAATTGTTTTTACAAAACCAATAGCCATCCGATTTCAAATGCTGAACAACAATAAAACCAATTAAAATCAAGGCTACTTTGTTTTTTTTAACACAATCAACATAGCTGATATGTAGACTACTGTGATATGTTATCCCACTTGCACAGTAGCCTCGAAGGCTGCATCCAGCTGTTACTTCTACTGCCTTTGGGTTGTGTGGGTTAGCATTACATTAACGTAACATAACACGGTCAATCTTGCTAATTTTTTAAACAAAGTATTGGAGGTCCGCGACGTATGTTCAAGCATGCGATGAACACATCAACTCGCACGCAGAAAAGGCACCTCGGTTCACGCTCAAAATTAATGTGGGATGTGGGGGGGGAAATAAATAAATAAATAAATGTGCTCCAGATGTGTGACATAAAACTTGCTTAAGTGAGATGCACTTAACTTCACTCACAGTTTTTATCATGAGCATTTATCCATCTCAATAAATAAACACGCTGGCACGTATCGTTATTCATCACGAGCCATCATAAGCCCCATTTACTCTCAGGATTGACTCGCCCTGTTTGTATAATGGGCGGTCAAAATCGTTGAGCATTGAGGATATTTTTTAAAGTGTTCAGACTGTCAATAGTGAAAGTATTTTAAATTAAGACCACCCCCTATTAACGTGTCATCGTGCAATGTCACGTAATGCTACGACTCACGGGATCTCTGAAACTGAGCAGAGTTTAGCCCGGTTCATGATCGGTGACCACCAACATGGCTTGCCAGGTGCGCTTGGTTTGGTTCCACATTCCACATAATATTGAAGGGAATGAGCCGAATATTCCAATGCATGACCCTTCTAAAAAACGTATTCTTCATTTAGGAGAGGTACGTTATGTTGTTAATGTTAACGTATAAATGTTGTAAAAAAAACATCGTTTTGGCCTGTACGGGGGGTTTTTCTGCATTATTTTACATATGTGACGAGCCTGTGTGTGATGCCTTGCTGTAACTGTGTGAGAATTATTAGTGCCTGAGGTGCTAAGACGTAAAATTCAGATTAACATTTTTATTGTTCGGTGAATTGAGTGCACATATAAACTATAATGATACATATTTCAAAGTTAACGAGCTTCCATTGTTTATATGGTTCTGTTATTTTATAGTGTACGTGTTATACAATACTTGACGTTTAAAAAACTTTCACGAAGGCTCAAGAAAGAGGGTAGTTTTCACCAATTTTTGTTATGTTTCACATAACAGCGAGCCAACTTTCACCGTTGTCCGCTGATTTGGCCATTCACTGTGCTGAAAATTGGCGGGCAAAAGCATTTACTTCCAGATTTGAAGTTTTCGTGACTGCAAGGATCCATACTCTTTGGTTCATTCGGTAAAGTCACGTAGGTGAAAATAAAAATAGGTGTAAAAAAAAAGTAACTAAATTAAATCGCTTTCGAAACGTGATTTAATTTAGTTATTTTTTTTTTTTTTCTACCAAATTGGTGACGCGGCCCAGCGGCGGTGCATTCGCCGGCTTTGTCGCAGAGGTTTTTTGCGGTTCGATCCGACACGCTGCCCCGCCTATCACCGAGGGTCTAGTAGACCGCAAAAACACGCGCCGTCTGCTTCACAGCGGACGTTAAAGATCCCGCGAGATCGTCAGTCGGCAAATTGCTCAGTCGGGAATGCACGACGGCAAACTTCACCCGCTGTTGGGAAACTACCACGGCACCTTGGTGGCCTTGAGCCTTCGTGTTGATAGACTTGTGCTATAAGAATGGCGTGAAAACCGGATGTACTGTGGTATTTTATCATAAGTCCACGAATTGGGTCGTGTGCGCAGAACCGTTCAGAAATTCAGTGGCACATGCATAATTGTTTTGTCATGCAACCTCCCTGTCTCCTCGGAAATGCTTGCAACAACTTCTGTACAAAATGTTGTTGGCAGAGTGACGGATTCGTGCGTCTTCGTTGCTGCACGCAGGGCGGGAAGATCCCGATCCGGTGGACGGCACCAGAAGCGATTCAATATCGCAAGTTCACGACGGCCAGTGATGTGTGGAGCTACGGCATTGTCATGTGGGAGGTGATGTCATACGGAGAGAGGCCCTACTGGGACATGAGCAACCAGGACGTGAGTGCATGCACCCATTTCAAATCCAACAAATGATTTGGTGATGCCGCTGCTGTTGCTGCATTGGCAGTGGTGCATGAGCACAAATAACAGAATAAAATGCAATGCATTCGATAATAGCCATGTGTTGCCTTAGAAAGAAAAAGTATATAATCGGTGACGTTTACAGGCAATACATCTTCTTCACAGCACAAAGATAGGCCAGAGAGGTGGGCTACACTGCACATCCCAGCAGTGTAGGGTCAACGTAGCTACTTAGACACCAATAGTGGGGCACAGCCTGGCTTTTTGTTAGCTTTAAGGTCAGACTCCAACAGGGGAGAATGACTCAGTTCGGTGGTGATGGGGATTCAGATATTCCTCCGGCCACTCCTGAAGCCGCTGGCTCACCAACCTACATGTGTGCTATTAAAACTCTGCTTATCAACTCCTTGTCATATTAAAGGAGAATATTTATTTCGAAGCGTTTAGCACAGGACTTGAATTAGTTTAGACATCATGCTCTGTGCACCCGATCAGTGCGACAAATAAATCCTAGCAGACTGTGATTTATTGTGTGCTATAATTAAAAAATGTTGGTTTGTGAAATGTCCTGGTTATAAGCATAGGATTTGCTGTACATCATCAAAATATACATCAATCAGTCACTAACTTAAACTGCGAACATATAACTCTATATGCATACGTTTGTAACTTGTGTATGTGTCTCTCTGTAGCTTCTACTGCTATGAAAATGACCACATATGGATAAATGTGGTTTCTCTGAATCTGGACAGACAGGTGGGAATCTATGGAATAATACAATTGATTGGTCAACCATCATCCTTAGACTCCACTGAAATAAAAATAAGTGTTGTGAAAATACATGAGGTTAACCAACTTTCAGATTGCACAAGAGATTTTTTGTGTCCTTTAGCATTGCACTTCAACGATTCTATTATATTCTATTTAGGATTTATAAAGTGCCTTTCACCAAGGCGCTCGACAATGCTTACCGATTTAAAGCTTTCGTGACTGCAGGGATTCATCGTCTTGGTTCTTTCGGTAAAGTCACGTAGAATGGAAATAATAAAATAATAATAATAAAAAACGCTGTCTTTCCGACAGACCTGTTCTTCACCTGAGGACGGCTGCTTGCGTTGTGGCCGAAATGTCGTGAGAATTACTTTATTATGTTTTATTTTCTTTATTTTATTACTTCCCTTCTACGTGACTTTACCGAAAGAACCAAGAATAAAAATGCTTACCGACTACGGTACAAAATGGCAAAAGAAGGAGTGCGAATGGGGTAGTGACGAGGGTAGAGGAGGGAGCGTTGTGGAGGCTGTGGCTGGGGAGGGCTTATGTGGGACAGGTGGTGCTGGGTAGGGGTGGTGGAAGAGGAAGGGAAAATGCAAGATAAAAGAGATAGAACATTAGGGGTTGTGCGAAAAGAGGAAAGCGATGGGGAGAGTCGGATGTGGAGAGTGAGCTTGTTCCATTGTAAGGGGGAAAGCAGAGAGAAGGAGTGAAAGCGAGACTGAGCACAGGGTGGAGGAGGAACAGGATTAACATGCATTCTTCATTCCCTACTAGGTTTTCATTGCAGATAACTGTTTCTTATTGGAATGGACTGTTTTCTATATTATATATAAAGTCATTGTCCTATGACCTCCTGACAATCATTCTGGTTCCACTGAGAGCACATTTGTCAATCTTCAGTAATTATTTGATAATAATTCCAATCTGAATGTATTTAGAAGCATACACATCGGCCCACATTTTGCAAACTGATATATATATATAAATGAATCCGTATGTCTTATTATTGTTTTATTTCGTTATTAATTATCTCTCATTTTTAAAACAAACATGAACACGTTTTACAGATTTTGTGCATTTTTATCTTAATGTCCGTACATATCGCCCTTGCATTCTGTCTTAAAGTTTAGCTTAGGCTCTCTTTGTAAGAGACACAAATTGTCTCGGTCAGCTCTCACCAAGTTTATATTAAGGAGCTGAACTGATATAAACTGTATATGATAATCCGTGTTCCATATGCCTGATGCCTTGTGGCATCTTAGTAAGGAGGGGTCCCTATGGTTTTCAAAAGATTGTCTACCCACAGCAAGCATTCTTGGCCTAATCTCATTATATGCATATTTAATACATTTCCACGAGCACTGCAGCATGTTTTGTTCAGTGTTTTGAGTGTATCGAATTTAGACAATAGTAGGGTAAAAAAAAAATAAACTTATTTTCCCCTCCCACTACATTTACTCACGATGACAGTAATGACTATGAGAATAATTGTTTTTAATAAGGGTGTTTCCCTTTTGGATTCAAAATGTGACCCGGCTGTCTGCGGCGAGAAACAGTGATGGCCTAATTACGATGGCCAAGGAGCGGCATGGTAAGAGCCCCCCCCCCCGTCTCCTCTCGGCCTGCCTATGCCGTACCCCCCTCCCCTGCCCCCCTTCCCAAAAAGCAACCCCTTCGTGACAGTCGCCGCCCTCCGAGGGCTGATCCGCCCATCCCCTTCCTTGGAACTGCACACCAAACAGCAGCGCTGAGGTGGCTGTGTTTCGTAGCCGGGTCTTGACGAAACGAGCCCGTGCACGGCGCTAGCGTGCATGTGTACAAGCGCAGCCCTTTTTGTCGAAGCCCACTGCTGTTTTTAACAGCCTCTCCCCCACACACGCCTTGTGGGTAGTGAGGCTTATTTGACCATACTTCACTGTGCAGGTTATTAAGGTGGGGGGGGGGGGCGGTGGTAAGAACAACAACTCCCACAATGCCTGCCTTTTTCGCATGGCGATCGCCTATCATAGCATGATGCAGGCTAACCCGAGGTCTGATGGGATCGGGGCAATCTGGGTGATTTAATGATAGATTTAGAACTGTTAATCCTGCTGAAAGAATTGAAAAAACTAACTAACTGAGGGTTGTGGGTGCTCATGTAGGACATCCTTCAGTTAAACGCTTTGAACAAGCCGCGCATGCATTGACACCCGTGCAGAAAAAAAACGATGCCAACTGAGGATGCGTTATTCAAATGTGATCATTAAAATGTTACGAGTGAGACAGCATTCGGCTTGAGCTTTTTATCTCTGACCCTAGCCCAAGCCATCCCCTCCCCCTGCAATCTCACTATTGAATTAAACTGACCCATGGCAATACAACTATATATGTCCCTGCTGCTATTTAAGCTTTGTTCCTTATTTACCAGACCCTAACTAATCCTCTAATTAAAGCCCACTCGGATTTCCCTCCCCTCACTGCAGGTCGTATTTAACCTGGTTACGGGTTATGGGCAGAGCTAGAAGGCCAGACCAGAGTCAATAGTAGCTTTTGTGTCAGAGTTATATGGATCGCAGGTTTAATTGCATGAATGTTGGAAATCACATTACTGTTCACAACAGAGGCACATGCATGGACTCCAGAACAAAGGTCTTTGTCGACATGCATTAAAAAGTTCTTAACTTGATTAAATGCAGAAAGTTAATCTCAGCACAGTGTTTCAAATGGAATTTAAGCCATGTGAATTGAAACGTAACTTACTTAATCGCGTCTCTTGCATACGTGTAGCTGTAACATAATTGTGGCCATGAGTGTACAAATCAATGAGAGGATATCAATTGTATTTCGTGATTAAATGTATTTTCTTCTCTGCATTTTCCTTCAGCGCTTTATGATCTTATTCGGCATTTTTTCATGTAACGCATCACCCCATCACTATAAAAATGGTTGAAGGGATTCTGATACCAGAGAGTAATTTACAGACTTTGGAGATTCATTTACTAGTTTCAGGTCAGCAAACAAACAGCAAACTTAAAACCCGAATGTTGTTGGCTTGCGTGTACTGACCGTTGGAGCAGTGGCCCAGCATTTACTCATTCATAGGTCACTGGCCATGTGGTGTCAATAGCTGCAATTTTGAGTGATTATGGGCTTCCTGTGTATCAGAGCTTCCTGTTTATTTAAAGTCAAATATGTATATGTATCCCCTCACCGCCCATTGACGAAAGATCGTTTATTGATGCATAAAACTTGAGTTTTTAAACTTAGTTTTTTTTAAAGCTTGTGAGACAAATATAACATACATGTAGGTGCCATGTTGCACCAAAAGGAGAGTGTACATTTAAATATGTACGTTGCCGATAAGTAAAATAAAAGCTTTCATGAGCATACTTTGTTTGTATTAAAGAAAACAAGGCATGCCGATCAATAAAATGTAGGTAATTTTTAGGAACAAGGCCTTTCGATATAATTTTTCACACACACACACCTATTTATATTCGTAAACTTTGAGCACATTCTATCATTGTACAGCCAAGATTATGTCCAGGCGAGACACCAGTCAGTGTGAAGCAAAGATCTATCCCTTGGTTTTAAGAGGATGTGGTAAAAATTAATCCCGTGGAAGACAAGTAATCTCTGTGTGTGTGTTTGTTTGACCTGTGCTGACACTGAGAGGGCAGTGCAATCAAAGTGTCTAAGAACCGGGGAGGATGGATCTCTGAAAACCAAGAGATTTAACTTCATTTTCTGTCCAAGTTAGCCCTGCTTAGCTGGTAGCTAAGCCTCTCACTCCTCTTTGCACAGACCGCCTGAGTTTTTGGTTTGCTTATCCAAAGATCCCAAGCATAGCAAAGCTTAACATCTCTCTCTGAGTGACATTACTGAGCAGGAATTTTCTGAAGAAGAATAAAAAAATGCAACAGAAAAATGAGCCTGATACGCATTGGCAGTAGTGCACAACCACGGTTAACAATCACTCAACAAGTATGTCAATCGCACTGCTTAAAAATGGAAAGAGAAAAACATAATAGGTTCGATTTCGGGCAATGGGCGTTTTTCATGGCAGAGATATGTGATTTTGATTGTAGGGAGATATGCATGAATTGTTTTTTTTATATATATGACGTTTTTTTTTTTTATCAACGCCTTTTACATTGCAACCAAGACAAAGGTGACAACAGTTGCATTTACACATTTATTAATTTACACATTTTTATCGAGGAAAGCACTGAAAGTCCTCCGTTGGAGGCTCTGTGAGTTTTAAACTCCCTGCTGGTCCCTTCACACCTGTGAAAATAGAGGCACGTTAACGTATAGCATGTCTTACTAATGTTCTACGGGAACAAAAAACCACGGGAAACACATCACCGTTCAAGCCACTGTTTATGTAAAACAATTATCGTAATATTTTACAGCCTTCTGTAAATCACCGCTGTGGACGAAGGACTTCCGACGTCGCCTCCACCCTGGAGATTGTTTTGACCATACTAGGCCGTGCTTATCGATTCGTGTGAGTTAAAGGGGAGGTGCCCATGCTCGATTCAGACATCGCTCTCCACTGATGGTAGCCTTGGTCAGGGGAATCAAACTCAGGTCACCTGAGGTTGACAGTGCAGTGCGAAAACCACCACGCCACCGCTCCACCCACTCTTTACATATCGGCGGTTTACAAAAAAACTGCTCGGAACCCTTCCGCGGTGAGCCAGACTTCCCCGGGCTACCACCATTTCCTTTCTCCCTATTAAAGTTCACCAATGTGAGACCAGGTGTGACTGAAGTGTGTGCACAATGGCAGGGACGCGGCCATGCTTTGGAAGTCGGGGGAGCCCTTTGAACACGGTGTTTCCCAGTGGTTAATTTGTTAGTTCACTGGGAGGATCCACGAAATTCCTCGTCCCACTGCACGATAATCAGGTCACAAATCTTAGCACCTACTAGCTCCTGCTTCGGTACAAAAACTATTGTTTCAAGCACTAATGTGTACTTAAAGGTTCTGTCGTCAGCTTAATGAGTGTTTTTTTTTTACGTAGTTGCCACCGTCCAAAAGCTTCATCATTCATTCATCGAGCATTTTCCCGTGGGGCTACGCCTTTGTGGATGTATAAAGGTCCCCCAAATTTTTGTGTGGCGGTCTCATAGTCAGAGACAAACATTTTCGGGGTAATCACACACCACCCACAGCACCCACATTAGCCTTCTCTCCTGCACAATGTCCAGCCCAATCTCGCTTCGGCTCAGACAGTCAGAAACAAAAAAACGCCTCACCACCGTCTGTTTACCAAAGACTCCAAAGATCGGCGGTGTGCGAATCCGACTGGGGTCAGGCGCTGCACACGTACGTCACCTCTGGGTCACGGCTGTCTGTGTAGAAGTCACCGATCTGGCTGTGAAATGTGAAACGAAACATTTATTTTGGGGGGGGGGGAGGGAAATGTTAGCTGTTAATTGATCCAAATATTTCCACTAATATATATAAAGACAAAGATCCCCGTATAGCCTTAACAGACTGTTGGGGCAAGTGCTGTTAGCGAGTAGCACCTATGAATGCCGGAACGGGGGGGGGGGGGGGGGTAGCACCACGCCCTTTTGTCGCTCCAGTGGCGATGTTTACACACCGCACCAGGTACTCATTTGCGGCTGTGTCGACCTAGGGCAGGCCCAGGACCGGTTCAGATAATCGTCACTGATCTTGGCCGTGAGCAGAAATAAAACTTGGGTCCCTGGGTTAATATAAATGAAGGTAGTCATTCTTAATGTAGTGAGCCTTTGTTTATGTATTACATTCCAGATTCTCTGAGCTACTGATTCATGGCATGCTGACATCTCTGAAAAAGAGCTTCCTAGCTCATCGGATTCCTCCAGTATAAATACATTTTCTGATTCTGATATTGCCAAACTTGTGGGCAGTGGCGACTCTGTATCTTAATGGCACAAAGTTCTTTTGCAAAAATTAAACTCTGGCAATCCATCATTGCCTCCAAAAATCACATGTATATGACATTGTAGTTGCAAAGTAGTTCTGTTTTAAAAGTTTGTGTTATTAACATGATAAAAATAAGAAATGTATTTGTAATCATCGATGTTGTTTTTGACTACTTTAGAAACGGATACAATTTAAAAGCCACTTGTCAGCTGACGTCATCGATGCCTCCTTAAATAAACGATTATGGTATTTTATTTGCTGAAACAAAGTGCAAATGCCCCTTTGATGTGTATAATATGAATAACTCTATTATTTATTGATGTATTTTTATATCAATATTTTTCTAGGATATGAAACAGCTGCTGTATCACAATATGTAATTGTCCTCCAGTCTGTACACATTTATTCATAATCTACTTATTATTTTATAACATTAATGGCGAGACCATCTTTCATGCTTTTATTTTATGTAAATTGAGTTTTAAAACATTGCCTTTGAACTTTTCCCATTATAAGCTATAATTTGTAATATGCACATATTTTCAATGGGGGGTGAAATGCGTTTGTTTGAAATAATACATGATAATTATCACTGGTTAAGTTGCTGGTTACAATTTCACCTGTTTAATTGTAGATTCTGTGGATTTCTTACAAAATTCCAAACGGAATAAGGCAAGATAAAAAAAGAAAGATCATCCATATAAGTCAAGAATACACACGAATATGAATATACTACATTTGGTCAAATACACGATGGGAACAAGTGGTGTCAGCGAGTACACATTGTGACTCTCACAGCACATGCATAGTTGGCATTGGCAGCACCATGGCAGGCAACTTTTATCTTTCACGGCATGGTGTGATGTGTCTCACACCACGCTAGGTCGGTCTGACTACTCAGGAGATATCCGGGGTAGGCTCAGATGCTACTTACTGATCGTAATATTCCTGGAGATAAATCATATTTGCAACAGAGCTCCCCTTCACGTATGCTATTACTCATAATGTTCACCATCAACATGAAATTAGTGTGTATTCATATGTGTACGAAGCAGAACACATGATGCATGCACTGTTGTTTTTAGAAATAAATTGTCTTCTCCATGCTCTGGGCAGGGGACGGATGCTCGGGCAGATTTAGGCGGTCGCTGCGCGTCTAACTCTACAGCAGCTGCCAGTATATGGCAGAGGATTGAAGGTGTTTGCGCGTGTGGCATCGGTGACTTTGCCCGCAATGAATCCTCGATGCTGATGACCCTCCTCTGTGGGGCTCTGCAGGTGATTAACGCCATCGAGCAGGACTACCGGCTGCCGGCACCCATGGACTGCCCAGCCGCCCTTCACCAGCTCATGCTCGACTGCTGGCAGAAGGAGCGCAATGAAAGGCCCAAATTTGGCCAGATCGTCAACACCCTGGACAAACTCATTCGCACACCGGCCAGCCTCAAGACCGTCGCCTGCGTCACACCGGGGTCAGTTTCCATTTGAATGTTTACACTTGCACGGAATGCCCATTCTCAACCGTTCTCCATCCACTGCTAGCTACACGGCGCTACGGTTTTGTTGCACCCCCCCCCCCCCGCTCGCCCCTATGTGGATGTTTGTTAAGCGGGGTTGTATTTTTACGGGTGACATATCCTGCCCGAATGCAAGCATGTGTTTTTTTTTACCTCTCCTGTGTGCTTTTTTTTGGGTTGTGCCACGCGTTCGGCACGATGTCTGACGTTTCGCCGCACATGCTTGGAGCTTTCCAGGATCGAAAATGTTCCAGAGGGCTGCACAGCACAGCTGTATTGCTGGAAAGAACCTTGGAATATAGGATAAGAGCTGTGAAACACGCGTTTCTAAATGGTGATTGTGATGTTCTTAGATTATTTATTATCCTCCAACCACTGCGTCTCCTTTTTTATCTTAAGTTATTTATCGAGTTCATAAACCAATTCTTCTCTGTGTGGGTTGTCAACTCCTCAACATTCCGATCATTCAGGGGCATATTCTGACCATGCTAAACGACTATTTATAAATACACGAATGCACGCATTCGTAAACATTGAGCCTTTGTCCGAGGACACTTTGACCAAACGGCAGTAAAACAACTTTGGCTCCTCAGCTCCTGCATTGTAACCAAAATAATTGTAACGGTCTGGCAAATGACAGCTTATTTACAGTATTTTGTTACCAAAGTCTTGGAAACTATTTGTCCTTTTTTTCTTCTCTGTGTAATAAAAAAAAGGAATGGCTTTTTTTTACGACTTGTTCGTTTTGTGGTGCCAGACACGAACTAAACATGGTGAAAATGCTCGACTAATCTTCCTAGCGAGCTTACGAAACCGACTTCCATGCCGTAGCCTTTGCCTCCCTCTATTTTATTTACGAGTCTCAACGACAGTACAGGGATGGGAGTATGCAGACGGCAAAAGAATGGTACTGCCCAACCGTCCCCCCAAGAATATGTCAAAGGCAGGATGAGGTGGACAGAGGAGATGGATACGAGATGGTACAAGGAGAAGCGGAGGAGAGAGAGGGGGAAGGGGTGTCCAGAAAGATTCACAGCATCCATAGCCATATCATTGTTTAAACCCTGTCTATGGACGGCAGAGAGAGAGAGAGACACTTGCAAAGTGTTGAACACAATGCTCCACGCTTTAGCCCTGCTCTCGAGTTTAGCTATCAGCTTTAGTGTCCTCTTCACAGGCGTATGCGTGAGCACTGTTAAACGAGGTATAGGTGCAGCCCCCTTGTCCATCCGTTTTCTGTTGAGGGCCCACTCGCACGCTGTGCGGGTATTATGGATTATTTGACCGTGATTCACGCTGGTAAAGTGCTGTCCGGTGAGCTGCGCATGTCTGCAGCGGTTTCGCGATTCGATCGCGATGTTTAGCAAGGGTGTGCTTGAGAAGTTTGTAATAACAGTAATTCAGTAATTTGCTGCCCTTTGTCAAACGACTGCTGGGTGAAGGCCTTGCCATGCCATGTGGGTCAGGGGAGTTGTTTGACCACACTGGTCAGTGCGTGTTGGTGAAGTGGGAGACTTTGGCCTAGTTCAGATGTCGCTCACCATCATTGCTTTTTGCTATATCAGGGAATGCATAACGCACAGTGCTAACCACTTTTTCCCACCCATCACTCCAGCCACGTATATAATTTAAAGTCATATTACTATTTAAAGAGCATTACGGTGCTTTCTTTTCGAACTTGAAATTAAGTTTCGAATTCAGAGCGATAATTGCTTTGTGTGTGCTTCATGTTTTAATGGCCTTGCGAGATTACGGTTTTATACTCGCCAGGCCAGTTGATTAAATATAAATGTCTAGTCAAAGAGAAGATAACTTCTTACTCACTGTAGTTGATTGCAAGTAGCAATGCAAGCACCATATAAATATTGTATTGGGTGTTCTAAAGTAAGCCTGCTTCTTTGATAATGTAGTACAAGCCTAGGGGAATTGCAAACAGTCTGAAGCCAAATAGATTTTCAGGAGACTTTGTTCATTCTGCAGTCTGGTACCAGCTGTCAGACTTGGAACTGCTATAAGCGACATATGCCTTGTGTAATTATAATGTTATGTTCATAATAAAGGCCGGAGATGAAGGATGAATGTTACTAGATTGGTAGAACATTATCTGGCCCAGAATCGAGGTAGCCTTGAAGACTTGTTGAAGTATGACTTCATTTTTAGCCACGCACATAACATTTACATTCGGCTGAGGCTTTTGTTTTTGTTGCAGATGTCTGCTTGCTTAGGGCCTCGGTGGCTTTTTTTTGCCGCTAATTTTCTGTCTGCCTTAAGTGGATTTTAAGAAGTATTACACAATGTTAACCTGGCATTGTTTTTTTATTTTTAATTTAACAGAAACTAATTGACAGGTTTCACCTTGCAACACACCTAGCCCTCCCCCCCCCCACCCACCTCTCATATTCAACCCGGCCAAAATCAACCTTGTAATCGCTGTACACCCGAATCGCCTAAATGTAATTGAGTTTCATGTTAAAAAGTCCTAATAGTAATTCCCCACCCCCCCAAAAAAATAAAAAAAACACTCTGACTGCATACACCTGGTGCTAATTTTTTAATTAACTAATTACCTAATTACACACACACATATGATTTTGCTCATATGTGTTATTGCACAACCGGTTAAGAGGGAACAGGTTATTCCCAAGAGGGGCAGCTGAGAGACCAGACCGGACGTTATCTGATTTCCATCACTGGGAGAGGTCATGTTTCTTAGTTTTGTGCTGTGCGGGAGCGGGGAGCCATAGAGGATGCGGGCTGCACAATCACCCGCTTGTGCGCACACGCAGTAGTTCGGACCCACCTGTCAATAACAGCCTGCCCGCCCGCCCGCCCCACTACCACCCCCACACACCCCACCTTTCCTTTTAATTAAGGGATATTTTTTTTACTTAATCACACGATGGATAAATTACACTTAAATTAATTTAAAAATTGTCACCCTGGGCATACACATTGAATTTTTTTTTGCGTTGTAAAAAAAAAACGCGCGCGTGCTACGTGGGTGTCCTCGTGGAGTGACTGCTCCTTGCCATAGGAATGTGGAGTTTCTGGAATTTGTTTTAGGGCTGCCATCGGAGAGGACGCCCCATTGCTCGTTTGAGCGTGAAGACACGTTTGCGTGTTGTCCAGCATCGATGTCCGACGTTTCACACCACATGCTGGGAGCTTCTTCGGGAACACTGTTCCTTTAGAAGCTCTGAGCAATGCAACGAAACGTCGGACATTATTACAAACATATGGTAAAACCCAAAAACCCATCGGAGAGCTAGCTTTACAGCACAGCCGTAAAAACGTGCATCGTAGTATATACAGCACGTGCTGATTTATGTAATGTATGTTTGTGATCATATATTATAACCATAATAATTACATTCATATGGAGTACAAACATTTATAGTGTTTGTCATTAATACATCCGATGGACGAGACTGGTGATGGAATGGCAGTGAAAGGAGGTCGGGGGGAGAGAATGTCCCCAAGAGTACGACCACCGTGGAGATGGAGTGATAAGATCAGTTCACGCAGGAGTGAGATGCTGCTGACAGCACTGCACCATGAAGGATGTTGATAGCGTAGGGAGACCTTCAACCAGTGGTTGATACAAATTGATGACTGATGATGATGATGATGGTAAAATATTATAGAATGCAATGTTAAGTATAGAAAGGTTTATTCTTATAATCTGAGCAGTAAGTGTGCACCATTAAAAAATGCATCTTCATTAAGTAAAGCTATATACACAAATAATATGAAGCTTGAGTATGGATGAACAGTTTTTTTTTTAAATGCTAATGCACTGTATAATAATATAATATGTCTTTGAAAATAGCATTCTAATGATAAAGCATCATTAGTAGCTTCAAAGTCGTGCAGCACACACCGAGAATTTAATTACAATTTTGCTGATCAGAGAACCAAAAAGAAGTCACGTTGGAAGTGGAGGACCGTGCTTTGTATTTTGGTTCAGTGCAGGGCTGCACAGAGATGACTGGCTTTTTTTGATAAATCAACAACCAATTAAAACTCAAATATATATATTTTTAAGAGCAGAAATGCAGTCTCAGTGCCGTTTTTTTTAAAGACTTGGCAGTGTGAGCATTGGCACCGGGCACAAAAAAGAAAATGGCTAGCTAGCCGTATTCTTGTTTGCTACTTTTTTTGTTACGTCGTGAACAAAGGTACATGTGTATAAAAGGTTCTTCTTCGGACTGCGGTTTTTGGTGATTATCTCCATAATGAGGTAACAGAAGCCATGGCTGATAAGAGATGGCCAGCACTTGCGAGGTCAGGCCATAGATATATACCAGATAGGACCTCGCCAGGCTGGCTTGTAATGCATGCCTTGGCAGGAAATAAAAATTAACCCGTAAAAACAAAGTTTTTCACTATAAATCCTTTAGATGCGTGGCATCGGTTTTTATTTATTACTCATTTCTGTTTTTCTTGAGTAAGAGTTTAATTTTTATCACATTGGTATTTTAAATTAAATATGAAAAAAAAATCCTAAAAAGTGGAAAATTTGGGAAAACATTTTTTCACGAAAATAAATTGTCACGCACAACGAGTCTGTGTGCAAAATGTCAGCTCGATTGGATCACGGGAAGTGGGTTAAAAACGACCGAAAGATTTGTACGGTCGTAAGCACGCAAGCAAGCAAGCAAGTGAACTTAATATAAAGGATTTAAAAAGTGAAGCTGGGTTTGACCCGCAGCATTTTTTGTTTTGCCCACTCATCACTGGCTCACAACATCTTCGTCTACCTTGAAAATATACGACTCTTTTTTTTTATTCGTCAGTTATTTGCATTCCCTTTCCATTGCTAAAATATATATGCCACCAACAAGAGAGATGCTATGAGTTACAAGAGCTACCACCCTCTTATCTTTGCCACTTCTTACCTGTGCAAAATACAGATCGAAATAATGCACAATATTCACCAGAAATTGTTCACGAAAAGTATTTAGACATTTTGTAATTACGTGTTTCCCCCCACCCCCCATTTCACCTTTTAATGACCATATTACCTAGCAAAACATTCGGTCAGCACAGAAGGCCAACATCACAACACAGAGGGTCTTCATTCATACGTCTTCAGGTGAAGAACAGGTCTGTCGGGAAGAACAGGTCTGTCGGGAAGACAGAGTCATTCAGACTCTGTCTTCCCGACAGACCTATTCTTCACCTGAGGACGGCTGCTTGCGTTGTGGCCGAAACGTCGTGAGAATTACTTTATTATGTTTTACTTTCATTATTTTATTATTTCCATTCTACGTGACATTACCGAAAGAACCAAGAAGATGAATCCCTGCAGTCACGAAAGCTTTAAATCGAAACAGAGGGTCTTTCCAGAGCTCCCTATAGTGGAGGGCCCTTCTGTCATCAGCGGTATGACCGAGCAATGGTGGTGCTGCACCTTTGCAGTATTTAACGACATCTAAAAATAGGCATGTGCCCTTCATGTCGCCGATGTTCTGTACTGCGAGATGGGGTGAACGTGACAGTGAGAGCATCCTTATTGACATGCCATCGTTGCTGTTGCAGTATCTCACAGCCACTTCTGGACCGGTCGGTGCCTGACTTTGCCAGTTTTGGCTCGGTGGATGAGTGGCTGGATGCCATCAAGATGGGTCGCTACACGGACAACTTTGCCAGTGCCGGCTTCACCTCCTTTGACCTGGTCTCCCGCATGACTGCCGAGTAAGTTTTGACCTTGCCTAAAACGAGAAAAATGTAATATACACAGCAGTGATTACACAGATGTATCGCGTTTGATTTTCACCTACGTGTTTTTGAGAGGTGAATGGTGTCTCTCTCAAACAAGCACGGGGTTGTTGATCATCTCCCGCTGACAATCGTGAGCCAGTGGTGGAAATTCCACATTCCTTTGGTGTGGGTGAGGTTATCTAAAGGACATCCACTGTTGACTTTCCCCCCCAAGAAGTGTTGCTCTGTTTATCAACCCCAAATGGATGAATGGCTGAGTGGGACCCCCAACTGGGATTTGAACTCACACCCTTCCATTGGAGAGCCACACACACTGACACTGCTGCCCAACGCAAAGAGTCTTGGGTTACATCAAGGACATTCGCATTTTTTCCCGTTGCCACACAATTTTATTAATTTGTGAGTATGAAACAAAGGCCTTTCCTGGTTCTACATTAAGTTGGACAACTATCTCGTTCAATCTAGGTACCGAATGTTGTATGTCTTCTGCATTCTTCCAATTGGCAAAGCACCCGCTATTGAATGAGCTGGGAATATGTCCTCTTAAAGCCACATGACATGAAGTCACGTGGAATCATCAATTTTGGGACAGTGAGGTTTTTTTTTTCTCCCATCGTTGCAATCATCAGTGACAGGTCCCAAGCCATCAAACTCACTACACACGAGAACCCTTATACAGAGAGAGGGCAGCATTCATTTTTCACTTGTCTGCCCCTGGGGCTCAACTCAGAGTTTTTGGCTGAGTACCGTGACATAAGAATTAACCCCCTGAGTCACCCAGCCACTTCCAATAGAAGGTCATATTATAAATGACACTAGGGTATGAAACTAGACATTCATCTTTTGAGTTGATAGGTACTAAAGCACTCATAGTATTGGTATGATACAACATACACACACACCCACACAAACACGTGCGCACACACAAATACATGTGTGCATTTTTTAAAATATTTGCGATAGCACAGCATCCGATGGGTTCCACATTGATGTCTTGCTTTTGCCAATGTCACATCGAGGGTCACAAAGCGGCGCTTGCAATGATACTGAAAGGCAATGACAAATATCGATAAATGTGAGGGTGCAGAAGAAATTGGATGTGATGTGCTCTGAAGCACATTGGTTGCAGTGTATCTTGTTTGTCACTTTGATGTATTGTGTGTGCTTTGATGGCTGCAAAAGGACACTCACGTGCAACGCATTGCTGCCTGGCAATTATATCTTCTGCAAAAGCACTCCACTTTAGGAGAATACGTTCCACACAATCTTTACTTATTATATTTACCTGTTTCTTCCGTGGTCTGCTTAGACTGCTGATTTCACCGATAACTTACCCGATTGAAAATGTCTACTTTAACTGCTTATCACCGTTATGATGCCTTCCTTAGTTTGGTGTTTCATCAGTTACATTCTCACCAGGGATTTAGGATGTTACTCTCAATGGATCCTCACCTGTGATAAAAAAGTAACAATATAGAGCCTTATTATGTACTTATTTATAGTCAGCCAAAAGGTCTTGCTCCTTAAATATAAAGAACCTGTAATGCAAATCGAACCTGTGAGCTCTCCTCTGTGTACAGCAGTTACCTGGAGCAGAGAGACATTTGGAAGCTATTCCAAGATAATCTAACAAATGTTTTCATTGCCTTTTTATTTTCTGTATAATCCCCTTAGGGACATCTTAAGGATAGGAGTTACCCTGGCTGGACACCAGAAGAAGATCCTCAACAGTATCCAGACAATGAGGGTGCAAATGAACCAGATCCAAACGGTGCAAGTCTGAGGACATCACAGCAGATTCCTGAAAAGAGAAATTCGAAGAGCCGGTGGAAATCTGCTGTGTGCCACTGGCGGATGCCACGATGAGACACTTCCAAAATCAATCGCAGTACATTTATTTTGATGTCAACAGATGTGCCATGATGGGAAAATGCACACATCTGAGCTAAAGACATTCACTAAAGCGTACAGAAATACATCCGGCTGTTAAACTGAATACACTTGATCACGTCAACGTTGAGATCATTCATGAAGGCACCTGTGAGTTCATAGTACTTGTTTTTTTTTCTCCCAGCTGGAAAACATCATCTGTGCGGTCTTTGCTCATTACGTGACATCGTCTGGACATTCTTTAGTGGTTAATGTCATTAGTGACGTTGATGTGTGATAGATGTCAAGACTGAGATCTTTCAGAAGATTTCTTTACCATCTCAAGAACCTTCCACGTACAACCGAGAAGTCTCACGGGGGTTCTTTGGAGGGCGTTACAAGATCACAGATGCATGTATCAACGCTTTATAATATTTCACCAATATATAGGAATTAAAAATAAGTAAAAAAAAAACAAATAAGCCGAAAAAAATATCACGAAAAAATACAAATGGTTTTGTTTTTCCGTCTTCAAGTTACTTGCGAGCAGGACACTTCAAGGGGACCTCTAAAAGACCTAATTGTGGAAGGTCGTAGGTGAAGCATTGTTTAATGGTGTCTCGAAAGGACAATTCCAGAGGAAGGACGTGCTGCTGTACGACACAGGAGCTAACGAGCGGCAGCGTCTTCGCTGCGCGAGTGCATTGCGCGTGGGTGCACGGCGCGCACACACACGGGGAGAGAAGGGTTCTGCTCTGGCCACGTCGGGCACCAATGCCGTTCCGCTAAACGTCAATTCTTAGGCAACGAAGCAAAGAGAGATGCAACAACTCTAGAAACAATGCTGTCCGCAGCAGCTGCTTAGAACTTGGTTGATCAACTTCACCGTCAAGCGGCTATTAATATTGCTGCCTAATTATTATTGTTATAATCGTTTGGCTTTTGAGTTCAAGGTCAAACATGTCACAACTGCACCAAGTCGTCGTCTCCTAGTTTACCGTTGCGAAATAATACATTTAGCTTGCAGAGTTTCCTTAAACATTAGTCTTCATATTGAAGATCTTGTTTAATAGTATTCTTTTAGCTTGCTAGATTTTTTTTATTTACATTATCTGTTACATTTGAATCATATAACTGCAGGAAAAATGTTATGTTTTAGCATTTTAGTACTGTATTAAATGTATTATTTCTTGCACGTTTTTAAGGCACTGCGTTATGTAGTGGCTGGTATCAAAAATAAAAAAAAATATTTTTGTTTCTGAAAACTCTTTACGTCCAATTAATAGCGATGAGAATAAAATGCAAACGTTATGTATGTATATTTTCAAACATCTGTCTTCGCATGAAAAGCAACTTCGCAGCAAGGTTCCAACGTAACAAGTACAAGGTTAAGATGCCAAAAAGATTAGTATGCTTTGATGCATAGGAGAGGAAAAGAGCGAAAGAATATTTTATTAGAGTACTTGGAGCTTAATTCAGTATAATACCCTGCCAGAAGTATGTATAATTAAAACACATTGGTTTATGTAAATTTTACATGATCGCACATTATTATGAAGAAAAAAATATCAATTGTAAAAAATTAATGTACCCTCTGCCACTCAAACTTCATGACACAAACTTATGATAGTATGTCAGTGTCCCCAGAAGGATATAACTGACTATTCTGACCAAATTGCAAAACTATTATGAAAAATTATTAAACTGATGCCTTCCTTCAATTCACTTTGAACTCTGCAAGCTTCTAGACGAGAATGTTGTTGAAACATGAACGATGCTGACTGTGAGTATGTAACATACTCAAACGGCGTACCACAGAGCGGTTAAAAGGATAGTCGGCTTGGCAATGGAAAGATGATATTCGTTTCTCAATTGGTTCGTTTCTCAATCCGCTTGTCCTGGCGAAGTTCGCCGTGTATTGAGTAGGGCGGTCCAGACCTCCCTTTCCCTGGCGACGGACTCCAGCACTACATTGCTATACACTACTACACTATACACTACACTATACACTACACAGACTCCAGCTCTTCCATGGGGAATTTCCAGGCGTTTCCATGCCAGCCGAGCGACATCGTCCCACCAGAGTGTTCCTGGGCCACCTCCGGGATCTTTGCCCATGACATCTGCTATGAAAATCGAGGACACTGCACCGTGAATGCGAGGCAAACTATGAAGGTTGGATGTGGAACCTTTTTTGGTGATTGAATTCAGCAAACCGTTACATGTCAAGTACGGTCTTACAATGAACGTATGGCCCTTGCTCAAGTTGAACATATTATTTTATCTGTCAGTTGCAGATTTCACTTACAATTATTCTGCAGCTGGTTAACAGACAGAGGCACATATGTAATAAAACATCCATTAATTCAAACAGATTTTGGTTCTGCGTCTATATTAAAAGAAAACTACGAGTACTCTCTGTTATCACGAAGGCTGTCCGTTGGAGCGACTGCACATAATCTTGGTTGTGCAGACCCGAAGAGAGATGCCAAAAGTGGATTGTCATTTTCAGTTGTAAAATTGAGAAAAAACTGTAGTGTTAATAACGTGTGCTGGTATTTAACGAGCGTCATCTTAAGCCGGGTCTTACGCCTGAGCCGTCGAGCAGCGCCAGATGTTTGCGTGCAACTGACTTGAACATATACGTATCTCTCTCTCCAAGCAAGTTGAGCAAACTGATCGCTCAGAGTGGAGGCAGATTCTTCCGATTTCAAGCGATCTGCTCAGCGATTTTGTTGATCGCTCAGGTGTGGAGTGGGCTTTAGAGGGGAGAAGAGAGAAGGTGGGGGGGGGCAGTGCTTGGTTATTCCTGCGATATTTCTCTGCAACCTCTGTAGGTTACCTACAACTGGAAGTCTGAATGCCGAATCGCGATTTGGGTTATTGCTCTCGTGCCACTTGCAAATGCTTATATTCTTGCAATAATTTCACGGCTGTCAGTGTGTATGTTGATGACAAATAATAATTCGTAGCCTGTTCTGTAGCTCAGATTGACTCTTCCTTGGACAAATTGTTCTTCTGTCAGATAATTTAAATGACACAAGACGTTAGGTCTCATTGCGGCTTATTTTGTAATAATTTATTTCGTTTATATTTTTAGTGGCAAATATTTAGTTGCCTGTGTAGATAATTTCTGAAATAACAAGATGCTTTTTTTCCTCTTGTTATTTTTATTTATTTTTTTGCCACTAACTTATTTGGAACCTTTGCATGAGGCACTGCAAGCGTTTTAGAGAATCCAAATTACAGCGGTTTTGTTCACGTGAATAAAATGTCGTAAAATTGTAAAGAAAACTTATCCATATGAACCTTCTCTGTGTTATACTGTAAAATAAAAATGAATTAGGAATTCACGAATATCATTCCTAGGATGTCCTCCACTGCCTTTTTCTCCACTTCTCAGACGTTGAGCACTTACATTGACAATGACAATTACGGCAACAACTCTATATCCTTTATTTTTCCTTATTTTTGCCCAAGCCAGTGAATAGTACAAGTTGTTTTCTTTCCAGTAAGATTTTTTGTATTAATTTGGCTTTTGTACCTGCTGAGAGCCTTCCAAATTGACTCGTACTTGAGGCAAATGTGAAACTTGACAAAATAGTAGCCTGACAAGTGACTTGTGACCCACTCTTAAAGTGCGACCCATAAGTTAGTGCACGGTTTCCCAAACTCCAGTCCGCACGATCCATCCCACTATGCCACGTGTTTACCAATTTACTCCCCATTCAAATACAAGTAAACTTGTTTCCACGCTACACGCGCCGGATGATTGTTAAACACGGTCCCACGTGACACGCACAAAGCAATTAAGGCTGTTTGCATTAATAGAACCGATTCAAATTACGGTGAATTGCTTATCACATCACGTGGGGACGTGTTGAGCAATCATCGGCACGTGCAGCATTGAACGAGTTTAATTTATTTGAATTGGGAAGTACAAAGGTACATGTGAGAGAGACGGAGCGTGGTGTGGCTCGTAAGATTTTTGAGAATCCCTGCATGAGTGGCTGCCAGCAACATTTATTGCTAACAAGTCTGTGAGAGAAAACCATTATGCATGAGTTGCTTTGCCTGTCATGAAAGTCACATGCTCAAAAAAACCGTGGTAGATTAATAATAATGAAGCGTTTGCTAACTCTTTTTGGAGAGGGGAAGGAATTTGGCATGAATTATTATATTTTTTTCAATGTGTGTTTATTAAATTTAGAATTATAATGAAAACTAAACATGTTTTCGATGGGAAATGCAAGGTTGATCCGTGAGGTGCAAAAATGTTCATGCAAGTTAAGTTTTCTTTACAAATTCAACATGCCCTGATTTAAAACGTTACACCATTTGTGCCGTATTTAGTTAACGGGAATTCCTTGCAGGGATTAAAATGAACAATATAACATTTACCGCAAAATCGTTTAATGTATGTTACACTTGTATTTTAATGTGAGCAAATATGAATCGGTAATCATCTAAAAGTCTTGTCACTTTAAAGCATACATTACAACTTTCAAAAAATGTAATCCTTTGTGTGCTCTTCGTATGTAGAGTATGATCGAAATGCTTGGGTGACATGGCTGCAGTGTTATACCAAGTGTGGCACACAATGCTACCTGTACAATAGTACGCCTTGATCAAGTCACCTTTTTTAACGTTAATCGTCAGTATGTTAACTCAGTATACCAAGTACGCATTGCAGTACAGACTCCTATGTCTACCTACCAGTAGATATACTCATTCACTTACCCTGCAAGGATTGCCCCCTCCCCCAGCTAAGAAGTTTAGTTTTTTTTGGTTTGTGAGGTTTTTTTATTAGCTTTTGAGAAACAGTTGTGGAAATCCCATAGAATCCCCTAATGATTAGAGTGTTGTCGTGACAACTGTTAAACCCTGATCTAAAATAGCTAATAGATAGTTGCGTAAAATTGGAAGCCCTCAAATTGAGAGTATGAAAATCATTCTAGAAATAAAATACTACTGAAAGAAGGCCGTTTGACCATACTTCACCACGCTGGTCATTGGCTGATAAATATACTCAGGTCACCAGGTTCACAGGAATGTGCACTAAACCACAGTGACCTTGTAATTATTAAAGCTTTTTTTACAATGTGGAATCCAGTCATGCCGTTCACTCACGGTGAAGATGTTTCAGTTTCATTTATTTGGTATAACCCTGTGAGCCATGCGGCTTTTGACTCGGGTGCAGCTTAACAGACGTCTATGGGAATAGATACATCTGTGTTCTTAAAATCTTTCAAAAAAATCCCTATATTCCACGAGACAATTGAAAGCTGGGATTTATTTTTAATGTTTTTGTTCATGCAGTGCTTGTTCTGAAAAAAAACTTTGGAAAATGTAAAATGCAAAACAATGGAAGAGGAGAAACATCAACAATTCTAAGTGCAGAGGCATTGACTTGTAAATGTTGTACATTATCGTTAATGTCATGTTGTGGTAGTCAGTTTTTGTAAGGCATGATGTATGTCTGTGTGTACTAATTATGAACTAAAGTCAGACATTTGTGTTTTAGATAACATGGAAGTTCAGTGCACTGTCTTCCAATCACCACTTGCTTTTATGTACAAAAATATATGGTTTTTAATTTTTGTGCACACAGTATTTTTGCCCACGTTTTCATTTTGGGGATTTTTTTTCTTCTGATATATATTTTGTGTGTGTGTGTAATTGTTGTAAGTATTTTTAAAATATTTGCTGCTTCCACAAACATTTGTAGGAGTTATAAAACTTTTGAAATTTAAAAAAATAATAAAATAAGTAATAAAAAAACATGTTGTTGTCTTCTCACTGATCGCATCGCACGCATCCTACATTACAAGTATTGCAGCTCGCCAAAAGATTGCATCTGTTTCATTTTTTCTATTTTTTCATATTCTACTTTCAACTCTCCATAACCCGTCGGTGTGGGTTGTTTTTCCCTCCACCTAATGCAGACAGCTTTTTAGATGGTGTAATCTTTTTGGAAAGAAAGCATTCCTATTATTGTAACGATGCACATGACCATGAGGCTTCTGATACATACCTTATTTGTGGCTTCACCATTTTAGCTGAGAGTGAGAAAAATCTCACGATTATGGTTGTTGGCAGAGGAATAAAAAATAAATACGTCTCATCAATGCCTTCAGGATAACTCCCATTTATGGTCACGAGTCGTGACTCCGGACTTTGAGGGACTCCTTTCCTCTGTGCTTCCCCAGTCTGCAATTGTTTTTTTTTTTAGGATTTGGCTTTCCTTCGTGACAAACGTGGTCTGTTTGTTTGACTTGGCATACAAAAGCACGGGGAAGGGCCTCGGAGTCCAACTTTATATTTGTGGCATGCTTCACACTCAGGTCCACAGAGTTTTAAAGAGAAACGATATTGCGCGTGTTATTTTTGTTCTGCTGGACTTTACAGCAATAAAATTGATGTAGTGTGCAGTATCCAAAATTGTGCACGACTATTCGTACAGTGCACAGTACTTTCTCTTGCCACATAATTATCACTATGGCTAGTATAGCGATGTGTTCCATTATTTCAAATTGTGTGTGTTTTTAAATCCTTTATATTAAGTTCGCTTGCTTGCTTGCTTGCGTGCTTGCTTGCTTGCTTACGACCGTGCAAATCTTTCGGTCGTTTTTTAACCCACTTCCCGTGATCCAATCGAGCTGACATTTTGCACACAGACTCGTTGTGCGAGACAATTAATGTTCGTGAAATTTTTTTTCCAAAATTTTACACTGTTTAGGGAAAACAAATTAAATATTTAATTACCAATTGCTTAATACTGGCAGACAATCATCTGACCCATAGGTGGCAGCCATCTCAAGCCAGAGGACGAGAGGACTCTAGCCGCCACGCATATAAAGGATTTATAGTGAAAAACTTTGTTTTTACGGGTTATACTTATTTACATCACGCTTACCAGGAAACACTGGATGCTGAGCAGCAGTGCCTCACCTTTTGATTTGTCTGCGTTCACTTGCCTTGCAGAGGAATGCAACCACCGGTTTAGACTAAATAATCGCCTCGATATGAAGTGATCCTGGTTTATCAGGAAATGCATGAGAGACACAGAATACCGACAAACTATCTCCCGGCGCAAGATTTGCATCAGAACATTTGCACTGCAGATGTGGCGATCTTGTTCCAGCGATGTACCAACAGGAATATCGCACAGCTGCGACTGCGATCACAAATCACAACCCATGCAACGACATCGCGGTGCCACGGCCCACTTTGATGACACTGGTCAACACACTTTTTCTGGCATAAGCTATTCCAACGGGTTTAAGGTAATTTTGGGGTGCTGATTCCAAATCTGACATCAGTTTTTGTCTATCACATCAGGTTTTCGAGATATCAAATATTGCATTTTCAATAAAAACTGCAGAAGAAAAATATTAAATAAATGTGGATATCTACATAAAATTATATTACAAACACAATATCCTAAAAATACCGCACCATATTTTAACGCTAAAGCAGTCACTGACTCGCAACAACTTGCAATCATAAGTGACAGAGTTAATTTCGGGTAAAATCAATGAAAATGGGGTATGCCTCGATTTAAAGCTTTCGTGACTGCAGGAATTCATCTTCTTGGTTCTTTCGGTAAAGTCACGTAGAATGGAAATAATAAAATAATAAAAATAAACAATAAAATAATTCTCACGACGTTTCGGCCACAACGCAAGCAGCCGTCCTCAGGTGAAGACAGACCTGTATGCCGATAGCATAAAAATTATGTGATAGAGCAAATCTGAGATTTGATTTGGAATCGGCACCCTGAAATTAGTCTAAAACAGCTGCAAAAGTCCAGGCCAGAGAAAAAAATGTAATTTTTTTTTGTTGACCAGTGTAATCTGCTGGCAGCATCTTGGAGTCACAACGAGGCCACTCCTGAAGCCGCCTTCCGTCTCACTCGCCAACCTCGACGTGACCGTAGGAATGCTGCCGCTCAACTCCCCGCCATACAAAAGAAGAAGACCCAGTCCAAGGTTCAGTCCTTGGTCCAACTCTTGAGAAGTCTGCATATATATTAATTGTGTAGTACTTCATATAGTCTTTGCATTTCAAGCCTACCACACTGTTGGGGACACGATGTCAGTGTTCATTAATTTCCACCGCGTAAACTTGGCTTGCGAGGGTAAATTATAGGAAAAAAATACCTCGATGTACACAAAGTTAAATAGAAACAAAACTGTTGAATTTATTTTAAAAAATAACTTACGATGTAGTTTTGACAGAGAAAATGTATATGTCAGTCCCAATAATTTGTGTTCATTTAGTCTTCAAGATAATTTGTTTAACCACTGCCAAGTATCAATTTGGGGGATGGTGAAAATAAATAAATATACATATACGGAAAGGTCAAAATGTCGATGTAATGACCTAATGATTGTGAAGAATCATGGGGAGGTAAGGTGAGATTATAAACAGATGGTCCAGGCTCACAGGTTATACCAATGGATGATAGCTGTTTTCTCATGATGCCTTATTGTCCTCTCGAAAAAGCATCTTCAAGGATGTTATGGATTGATTGATTGATTGAATGAGTGATTTGCTGGTTTGATGATTTAGTTGCAATACGAGATACAGTCTGGATGGGAGTGGGTTTTGGTGTCTGGCCAAACGTCACATTTTCCAGGTCAGTTCAACTGACAATGAGAGCCCCAAGGCTGTGAAATGTGTTCAATTGCCAGCTGCGCAACACTCTCTCAAGTCTGAGTCATATTGACAGAAAGTGTGATAGCTGTTTTACAGCGTAAATATTATCAGCAGAATGTACAGCACTCTAAACGATTTGATGTGTTCTAAGAGCGATTTTTGATGATGCGTAGCAATACATTTTGTTTACGAAGTTGGTGTGTACGGCTTAAGCCGTATCATCCATAATGGTGCACTCTCATTTGAACGGTGCTTAGAATGGCTTGCCACGTGGTAAGTGCTGTTGTTTCACATTCGGCACGCTGTCCACCACATGCCAATTCTAATTAAAGATATTGTTCAGGTAATTGTGATCCTTTATCTAAGAACAAATATTTCTAAGTCATAGTCCATAAATTTCGATTTAAAGCTTTCGTGATTGCAGGGATTCATCTTCTTGGTTCTTTCGGTAAAGTCACGTAGAATAGAAATAATAAAATAATAAAATAAAACATAATAAAATAATTCTCACGACGTTTTGGCCACAACGTCCCCGACAGACCTGGTCTGAGGACGGCTGCTTGCGTTGTGGCAGAAACGTCGTGAGAATTATTTTATAATGTTTTATTTTATTATTTTATTATTTCCATTCTACGTGACTTTACCGAAAGAACCAAGAAGATCATAGTCCATAGTTATAGCGTTTGAAGGTTTTTAGAACAGTGGGAGGTGAGGTAACAATAACATTATTAATCATGATAACCTCTGACCTCAGCATCACCCATTCGTAGGGCATTACATGTTTCATATAGGATGTTTGTAAAATGCCAAATATTGGCTGTTATTTTTTTTACAAAAAGGAACATTTAAGTTAAAGCAGAGGCAAAGGGAGGCAGAGCCGGAAAGCTATTAGCAAACTATTAGCAGTATAGAAAGAGTGCCACAAATATGTCTCAGAGTTGTTACCAAAAAATGTAAAAAATAAAATATATACATACAAAAATTTAAGCCTTTTGTAATTACTGCTGACACTTGCATGCCCCAATGCAGCCAGTATGAGGATATACACATGTTGGCAATTAAAGTGTGGAAAGTTCCACTTTCTCAAAGATTTTCAGGGCTTTTTTAACCGACTCAGATTTGGGCTCAATAATGGATCTTCATCGGCCAGTTAAAGTGTGTGCTGTATCATAAATCACAGCGATATTCAGTGCAAGTTCACTTTGCAAGAGACCTTTGCAAAATTAATGCCGCCAAATCAACATCCTAATCTATTCCACAATCTTTTTCAATTATTTTTTTACTTGTAATTGATAATATAGTATGCAGAACATAAACTGTATTGTTAAATTGACTCATTTTACTGTAAGTATCTTCGTATATTTTTTGAGTAGTTATTTTATCATAATACAATAGTACAAGTACATCATGAACAATTCTCATTTCCAAGGTTTTATATATCAGTGAAACTTGTAGAGATTATATGTCTGTCTATAGTTTTCTAGTTAGATTTTTGTTGCTTTTTCTTTTTTACCTGATGATGATTGCTTGTGTTGCAATCGAAACGTCGTAATATGCTTTTATTTTAATTTATTATTTTATCTTTAGACGTGACTTAACCGAAAGAACCAAAGAATTGTAGAGGTTAATTTATTAGCACAATGTTCTGCAGTCCCAGCGATGCAGGCCCTGTTGTTGACCATGCACACGATTGGAAACTGGTATCTGAACTTGTCCTGGGCCACCCTTAGGTCAGCTTAGCCTAAAACACATGTGCATACATACCGTGTGATTGTATCGGTCTAATGTTGGGTGAGGGTTTTCGCGTACTTTTGAGTCATGGTGGATGTTTGACCATACTTCACCAATATTGGCCAGTGTGGGTGTTGATGAAGGTGGGGGACCCAGAATTGTTTCTGATATCACTTGCTGCCAAAGTTGGCCAAGGCTGGGAATCAAATTCAGGTGTCCAGGTTCATACCAGAGTTCGCGCTGACCACAATCTCACCACTCCACTTACACGTAGTGTGTGCATCAACGTTGTTCATGGCCACGTGGGAGCTCATTGAGACAAGAATCTCTCGCAAGGGAAAACTGGACCACAAAGTACAGTCGAAACTAGATGCAGATGAAGAATTGTTAA